CTCTGGTCCCCAAAAATCATCCTCAGTCCGAGGTCAGAAGCAGCCTGCTGCTATTCCTCAGCAGACATTCGTACGTCCTCAAGATCCCAAGTGGCAGTCTTCTGGTCGTCCTCAACAACAGACTCTGGATCGTCCCCAGAATGGCTACTCTGGTCCCCAAAAATCATCCTCAGTCCGAGGTCAGAAGCAGCCTGCTGCTATTCCTCAGCAGACATTCGTACGTCCTCAAGATCCCAAGTGGCAGTCTTCTGGTCGTCCTCAACAACAGACTCTGGATCGTCCCCAGAATGGCTACTCTGGTCCTCAAGAATCATCCTCAGTCCGAGGTCAGAAGCAGCCTGCTGTTATTCCTCAGCAGACATTCGTACGTCCTCAACAAGGGTCCGCCGATCCCAAGTGGCAGTCTTCTGGTCGTCCTCAACAACAGACTCTGGATCGTCCCCAGAATGGCTACTCTAGTCCTCAAGAATCATCCTCAACCCGAGGTCAGAAGCAACGTCCCGTCATTCCTCAGCGGCGGCCTTCTGGACGTCCTCAGCAAGGGAACTCTGACCTTAAGTGGCAGTCGTCGGGTCGACCCGCAAAACAGCCCCTAAGCGGCCCTCAGCAGGGTTATTCTGGTCCTCAAGAACCATCCCTCCTTCAAGATCAGAAACAGCCTGGTTTCATTCCTCAGCACCCTTCCGGACGTCCTCAGCAAGAATACTCAGATCCTAAGTGGCAATCATCAGTTCGTCCTCAGCAACAATCTACTGGCCGTCCCCAGCAAGACTACTCTGGTCCTCAGCAGGAAAACCCTGATCGTCCCCAGCAGGAAAGCTATGGTTCCCAAAATCAGCCACAACTTCCAGGTCAGCAGCAGCCCTCCATCATTAATCGGCAGCAGCCTTCCAAGGGTCCGCAACTGCAACGATTGAAGCCAGTCCCCTCCGATCCTAAGTGGCTGTCGTCGACTCGTCCCCAGCAGCCGTCTTCTGTTCGTCCTCAGCAGGGATACAATGGCTCTCAACAGCTGCCGGCTGCGCTTGAGCAGGAGGCATTCGGCCCCGCCAAGCAAGGATCCACACTGTTGAAGGGCAAGGAGGAAAGGCCTCACCTCTTGCAGGAACACCGATCCTCGCCCACCCAGCAGGGACTCTTCGAGCTACAGACGGCTCACGGTAGCCGGACTGCCAACGGGGAACGTCTGGTACTGCTCGTAACCCCATCTATCATCGATAATGCCAACTATAGCCCTGCAAGTCAGGCACCGAGGCCGCCACTGTCGGCTCCATATGCTGCTGACAATGGTGACAAGGGCCGGTCCGGTGGTCGCCAGAACAAGGCAGCGGGCAGACCCGCTAAATCGTGGTAGTGGCGGCCCTCCAGCCTATGATCCGCATCACGTGCTCCTCATATGAGCACCATGCGAACTGGACTGACCGCTGGGGCACCGTGAGGTCTCCATGGAAGGCCTGAATACCAGTGTATCTTTCCTTTGTGGCGTATGTGCTGACACAGGCGTGCAGTGTTTGTTGAACTATGTCTTTGTGTGCCATTTGTTACTTATACATATTTCCTGGAGGCTGAAGACATGAAATATACATTGTTTCCATAATCTGAGATGTATTACCGACCCACGTGCCCCTTGCGACCTATGTTGGGCATTAAGGTGTACATTGTGAGGCACACATTGAGGTATTCCATGTTAGGCACCCTGAACCATGTGAGGTATTCATCTGCAATGAGTTCACAATCTGCATATTGGGATAAAATCAGCGAGTGTCAGTTTGACATCCTGCTCGCCGGGTTTCCACTGCAGTTGGAGCGTTGTTAGCGCCCGAAAAGTTCCAGAAAACCCTTCTTACTATCAATGCACTGCCAGATGTCGCCGATTTTGCCAATGCAACTTGGCAATGCTGCTGTAATGTCTCTGTTTTATCAGGCTCTGCCGTGAGTCCAGAAACGAAACCGCGAAACCCAATTGGGAGTGATGTTTTGCCATACTGCTACGGGTCAGTGAGCTTCGCTGGAAAAAATATATGTTACTTGGGGTCTCTTGTCGCACCCATTGCACATTATTTACACTCGATAGGTGTGGCATTCTCAATTGTTTATTATTCTCTCCGAATATTCTCAAAAGGAGTTCAGGTAATGCGTTTAGCTGTCTCGCGTCATTGTGGCCCACCTAACTCGCCGCAAAAACTGACTGAATGGCGGAATGACAGCTGTCAGATGCCGAGAGCAAGCGGCGCGTGGGCGATTCGCCATTTTGCTTAAAATTTTCGCCGGCGGCGACTGAGTGATCAACCAGTGGCATTCTGACGACACGAAATTGTGGAATTGAAACGCTTTAGAAAAAATTGATGTTTGGACAGTACAGCGCACACAACGGCAAAAGAATAGATGGTAAATTCAGGCAATGAATCGGTGCATCGGCGATGCACGGTTTCGCCACCAGTCTGGTCCCAGCCTGGAAGACGGTGTGTTGTATTCGTCGCATTATTCAACATGTACGAAACCGGGAAAGGCTTGCGGCTGTAATTGTCATGCCTCGACATGCAAAAGCTGGTTCCATGATGTCTAAATGGACATTGCTGACGGAGTTCTGCTGCGTAGTCTAAACGCAAAACCTCCTAAAAGGAGCAAACCCGTCATGACCGTCGTTGTGCACGTGGCACGTGGCACGTGCAGCCTCACGCAACATCACGCGATTCCCCGTTCAATTTTCAGTCGAAGCGTGACGATGTGGTGTCGCTTCGGCCCGCGGTTGCCGAAATGTAGCCGCGGCTTCGAAAGACCGCTCGCCAGTTTTAGCGCGAGACGCTTTTTCGTGCCGCCCATGTAAAACAAAAAGGCTAAATAACAATTCGCAGCAGGCGACACGCGTCACCCGTGAAACGCACCGGCACGGAACTCACTAGAGCATGTCGTCTCGTACGCACGTGCACCGTGCCAAAGATCCACGTTTAAGCGACTTGCCTGGTGACCTGCAAGCGATCAAAAAGCCAAAAGCCGCCAAAGAGACAGACAGACACAAAGACGCGGCATGTTCAAATAGGTGGCAATAATAGTTACAGTTATTTTCAACGTTTCAACGGTGATAGTGATTTAGACAAGTGAAGCATAACCACTCCACTTGGACTCAACCGCTGGGAGACTGCTGAGATGTGTAAGATGTGGGTTTACCGTTGCTTTGACGCTTCTTAAACAGCCAGTTTATGCCTGGAAAATTGGTAGGAAATCAGCCTTTTCATACCGGTTCGTGCTGTATGATTTCTCCGAACAAAAAATATATGAAAGCAGGCCATGACGATAATAATTTTGTGTCGCCATTTCGAAATTCATTTTTTTGTTGTCATAATGGGTAACTTGTCTGGCTGAATTGTCAAGCCTTCAAACAAACAGTGAACGGATGGATATAATCATAATCAAGACCTGAATAAGATGCTCACATAGGTTGTGAAATTGGATGACCATTCGATGCATTACCAAGGCAGTAAGCCATCTCATTGTCACCCTGCGAACTTCTGTTGCACCCTACACCCACTTCAAAATACATTCCATTAAATCAATATGCTCTTCCGACGGATCATTTCTTTGCGCTTCAAAATAGCTTGCATTTTCAGCAGCCCTCTGCGACTTATTCATGTGTGTAGATTATTTTGGATTTTCCCTTGTAAAGGGCTGCAAAGGCGCGTTCTGTTCTCACTGGCTTTTATCAGCCACGGATGAATGAACGAAAGTTGAATGAAAGGAAATGTTCCACAATTGAGGCATTGATTGGCATCAGATTTGATTAAATTAGCTCACTTATTACTATTAACATACTGTTAAGGGTAAAAGACTGCTCTAGATAACAAATTTCTACATTCAGTAAACATGCTCTTCAATGCGTCATTGTTTGACTGCGTCTTGAAAGGTTTGTATGGCGCACTCAGCTGTAGTTCCTCCATCTCCCGAGAGGTCGCCCGCGGCGATACTGGGCGTGCTGGACCAAATATCGCTGGGCGCTCGTGTTTTGGCCCCTTCGTACCCTTACTCGTGAGGTTGAAGTGCTTACTTTTATTCACACGCTCGGTTATAATGCTCTTCTTAACTTGCTCTGTTGAGTCTTATTTCCGTTTTAACTAAGGAGAATGTACTTGAATGCACAGGAACTTCCCGATCATGTAGCACAAAACGTAATTCATCCGATCCCCTCACGTTCCTTTCTTGCTTTATCCTGGATCCCGGCGACGCCCCGCTCGCCCGGGGCAGATTGCGTGCGTCAGCCACGAATGGGCCGCGAGGCCCCTGGGAAGGGAGACCCCGGCCGGGCGCCTGACGCACACTCCCGAGGGGTCCCTGCGCGGGCTACAGCTCGGCGGCTGGCCACCCAGGCGCAGTGTCTTGCCTCATCGTGATCCACCCTCCTTCACCCCATGGCTCTGAAGTGATCATTCCTGGTCGAAGGGACTCGAACCCAATCAAACCAAATAACCTGTTGGCACCTTGCGTAGCTCTCACACTGGTCGAGAGCCAATTAACGGCCGTTATACCTGGAAATCGTGTTCGCGAATGCCAGATGTGGACGACTCGTCAGTTCATCGTCCCTCACATTTGACGCCGTATGGCCAGTGGAACGAGAGTTTAATGACATTATGGTGTCATGGATGCCTGGTTGACTTTGAAATAGTCTAGACAAAATAGTCTGCACATCTTGGCGAGCGTGATGCTCAGAAACTAGGTTTTAGCATCCCATCTCCCTCCTCACCTGGCCCGCAGTATTCGCCCCGTGCCTACCTCGTCCTCGCTGCACCAGCTGCCTAGTTAGACACCACGCCGTGGTTATGCATATTTTATTCAATACATATCGGTGCTGCCGGCGCCGCGGCGGGCCGGCCGGCGGGGCTGACGCCGGCCTCCAATGCACAAGTGGCGCTGCGCCGCCGCGGGCGCACGCTCGCTCGCTCGCGCGCGCCGCCGCCGCCGGCCGTGCGGCGCGGGCGGCCGCCGGCCGCGCGGCGGCGGCGCGCCAGAAAGGCTTCCAAATAGAAGGGTGGGTCGTCTCCGGGTGGTGGGGTGGCGGCGAGTCTCTCTCTCCTCTCCTCTCTCTCGGTGGAGTGCGGACGGGCGCTCTAGCCCGTCCAGCTGTCCTCCCACATCTAGAACGGGGGAGGAGAGGGGGCGTCACGCGCCAGGCGGGGACTGACGCCATACGGCAGGCGAACAGGGCGACAGATGGTACGCGGTCCGAGGGTGGATCACAGTGCAGGCCACGGAATGGGTCAGACCGCAGCTGGCTGCTGATTGGCCACAAATGTGAAAAAGCGATGGACGACATGGAAGCCATTTAGCATGGACAGACCCAAGAGACGTCAAGCAGAACGAATGTAAATAACCGACCACATTCGGGTGCCGGACGCTGACAATACAGCTTCCCGAACCTTTAAGCAGAGCAGGGCATTATAACAGGCCAGCACAGTCGATCTCATATACCTGATTACACGCACCCGGCGGTATTGTGCCCCGAACAGGGCATCAAAGCAGCGGAAATCTGTCCATGCCCACAGCTGCAGCGGACGCTTGCGTTACAAATGATCGCCGCGCTCGGCCCCCCGCCAAGCAAAACACATTCCCACTGAAGTCGACGTGCCCCCACCGCCGCGTTGGAACTACACGCCCGCAGTGCGAGATGTGCAACAGGCGCGCTTGCAAACGGAGCGTGCTGCCACTGAAGCATCATCAGCCCACTTTCCGGGAACGCGCCTGTTTCCTAGACTGGCCGCTGCCCCATGTCACTCTGCGCACTGATCAGGCTGCCGCCCGCCTGAGCCGGCAGCCCGGGGCACCAACCCTCCTGCTCCCTCCCTCCAGCCCAAGTGTCGTCGGCGCGCCTCACCGGCCGCGTCCCCCCTCATTATCTCACCTGGTGCGTGTCGGCGGCGCCGGCGGGTTTGCCGGTGGCCAGGCCCGGCAGGCCCCACGAGTCGCCGCCAGCCAGCGCCGCCAGGGAGCCGAGGCCGCCGGCCACGGCCGCCGACGCCGCGTTGTTGTTGCCGGGCCGGCCGCCGAGCGCGCCGTACGGCCCGAAGCCGCCCGGCAGGCCCAGGCCGCCGTTCGAGTAGCCGTAGCCGCGCGCCGGCCCCATCTCCGAGGTGATGGTGGCGGCGCGCCGCAGCTGCCGGCGCGAGGCGACGGCCCAGGTCAGTCGACGCCGGCTCGCTGGCCCGGCAGCGCCAGGCGGCGGGACGGGCTGGGCGGGCCACACACCCACAAAACACACCGCCTGGCCCGTCCCCACCGACACACGCCCGCTCGCTCGACCCAGTCCGCGACAGAAACAACACGACATCCAGTCAGCGGCGAACACCACGCACGAGCCACACGGCAGAAACCCGCGACCGGCACGGACGCCGAGGCGGGGCCTCACGACGCGTGGCCATTGATGGGACGTGCGGCAACGCTCCCTCTCGGCGCCAGGCCGACACACCGGGGCGGCGCGGACCGGCGTCCGGCCATTCACTGACCGTGTTGAGGTCTTCCAGGCTGAACTGGTGGTCCATGTTGTAGCTGGAGGTGGGGATGTCGTCGGTGGCCGGCGGCGGCGTCATCCAATTGTTGGTGCCGTTGTCCACCTCCTGGGACGGCTGGTACTCCCAGGACCGGCTGCTGGCCCCCGCAGTGACGTCAGACATTGTGTGACGTCGGCGAGAGGCGTGACAGCGCCCGCAAAAGCGGCCAGCCCAGAACACCTGTTGTGAGGTCCGTCCAACAGCAGAAAAAAATCGCTCCCGGAAGACACGATTCCAAGACAAGTTTCCCATAGTTTTGGCACAATTACCGCGGCTAAGACAGTCGGGAAATACCTGTCCATTGTCAGCAACTAAGCAGCCGCCATAATCAAACGTGACCCACAGTGGTACACTGACAAAAGAGTGATGCACAGCCGTGATATACTCGCGACAGAATGATAAGCTGGCGCGCCTGCCGCGCCCCATGCACAACCGCTGCCCAGACCGGCTGCCACCACCGCCACCGCCGCTGTCCCTGCCGCCCCGTGTCGGCGCGCCTGGGCACGCACCCCTGCGGTTTGTTGCTGTAGTGCTGCTGTTGCTGTCTGCTGCTGCTGCTGGTGATGGTGCTGCTGCTGCTGCTGCTGCTGGTACTGCTGCTGCTGACGGTCCCGCATGCTGCGCTCCATGCCGATCGGCCGGGGCAGCTGCGCGTGCTTCATCCTGCCGCACCGCGCCAGGGGGTCAGTCAGAGCCGGCCGCGACCCGGCCACGCTCACACAGTCACCAGCGGGCCGCCAGCCCGCACCATGTGGTCCTCGACGGCGCGGGCACGGCGCCGACACCACTGCTCACCGCCACACGGCCACGCTCACACAGTCACCAGCGGGCCGCCAGCCCGCACCATGTGGTCCTCGACGGCGCGGGCACGGCGCCGACACCACTGCTCACCGCCACACGGCCGAGCCCACGGGACGACAGCCAGCTTTTGCTCCGCCCACAAGCGCCGGGACATTTGCCGGGAGCAGGGGATGATGACAAAAACACTCGGGCCGACCGGATGGCCAACAAAGCCGTAGCTCTGCCAGCCACCGACCAGCGGCGGCGGGCGGTGCCCCGCTCGGCCGCCGCTGCCGCCGGTCCCCGGCTCCAGGCTGGCGCAGGCGCCGTACTCACATGTTGGGCGGCGGGTGGTGCAGGCTCACGACCGACGGCGGCGGCGGCGGCGGCGGCGTGTGGTACATGTCGAGCAGGCTGGGCGCCATCGGCGGCGGCACTGTGTGCTCGCGACGTGACGGCGCCAGTCCGAGCGGCGCCAAGCCACCTGGCGACGGCGCACGGAACCGAGGTCAGCACGGCGGCCGGCGGCGTGCCGGCGAGGTCTCGCCCAGGTTACGGCGCGAGACTGCCCGACCAACTAGCAAACAGCCAAATAGCGCATACAAACACAATACCAAACGGCGGCCAGATCGGAGCCCGTCTGCCCGAACATAGGCGTGACCAACACCGTCGAAGCCTACACAGATCCCACCGCTGTCAACAATCCCCGCCCCGGCGAGCGGTGCTGCCTCCACTAACCGGGTCCGAACATGGAGGCGTCGGGCATACGCTGTCCGATGGGCGCCGGCGGCAGACGGCTGCGCAGCAGGCTCATGTCGAGGTAGCCGTGCGCGGCGGCGGCCGGCAGACCGGCCGGCGGCGGCGGCGGCGGCGGCGGCCGGTGCATCGGTCCGCCCGGCGCCAGCGACCAGTCGGGCGACGAGGCCGGCCGCTGCGGCGGCGCCAGCGGCGGCGAGCACGCCAGCGGCGGCGCCTGCAGCGGCACCACCGGCGTACCCGGCGCGCTCCGGCCGCCTGACACACACGCAGGGGTCAGGTCAGGTCAGGTCAGGTCAGGCATGCTCAGCCTGCTTACACCAGATCTGGTTGGGCGCAACGTGATATAACAAGCGGGCGCGCTCCATGACCCCAATTAACCACAGCCAGCTCCGGCCATGCTGTCACCCCCTCATTGAGCCCCCTCGGGCCGTGCCCGCCTATCTAACCTCAGGTCAGTTCAGGTCACCTTATCTCAGGTCAGACCAGCCTACCCTGGCGCAGCGCAGCTCATTTCACCTCACGTTGGGGGAGAATTACGCACGTGGCGGGCCGGCTGGCCAGCACAGCGCAACAGTCGGCTGGCGGTCACGAGGGACGGCCACCGTCCGGCCGTCCAGTGCTGGGCAGCTCTAGTGACAATGCACAGACGTGGTGCGCTGGAGCGTGCATCGACGCGCCACACCCTCGGGAGCACACGGCTCGGCACGGGGACGCCCCCGCTACACACACATCACAGCACTGCGCCGCTGGTGACAGCTGCCGGCCGGCCACCGCCGACCAGTCGCCGCCGCCACTCCGGCCCGGGCCCCGCAGCTCACCGGGCGGCGACAGCTGCTGCTGCTGGCGAGCCGGCCGCGTTGCTGCCCGGACTGACGGACGCCGGCGGCGCCACGGGCGCCACGGCGGTGGCCGCCGCGATGGAGGCGGCCGAGGCGGCCGCCGCCGCCGCCGCGGCAGACGCGGAGGAGGAGGCGGCGCTGCCACCGCGGTAGCCGGGCGCCTTGGCCGCGTCCACAACGCTGACGGTGGGCGGCGCGTCCACGAAGCTGACGGTGGAGGTGGAGGTGGACGGCGCCAGCGAGGTGACGCCGCTGGCCACCACCGCCGCGAAGTTCTTCTCCTTGCTCTGGCCCACGTTCTGCGGGGCGCGCGCAGGAGCGGAGTGAGATGCGAGTGGCGATGATGAAGTCCAATCAATGAGCTGTCTGCATGGGGACGTGCGGTAACCAGCGAACTAGCGTCTCATACAAATCATACAACTCATGATGCTCCGTTCCAAACGAGCGTACACTAAGCCAGCTGGTAACGCCTTCGACAGACGCCATCACACCTCCGTTACCACACTCCCTCACCTTGAGAATGGGGCTGTAGTTGAACGGCGAGTACGTCTGCGCCGGCTGGGCGGGTGCCGGCGGTGCGACCGACGCCACCGGCGCCGGCGCCGAGACGGCCGGCGCGGCCGCCGCTGGCGCCGCCGCCGCCTCGGAGGCGGCGGTGGGCGCGGGCGGTGGCGCGCGGCCACCACGGCCGGCGCCGGCCGCGCTCGGCGGCTCGGCCTTGCGCTGCATGAGGGGCGTGGCGGCGCGCGGGCCCGCCTGGGCGGCGGCGCGCGACCCAGCGCCGGCCGTCGCCGCCGCCGAGCCCGACTTGCCGGCCGACCGCTTGTCTGCGGAACAGGCGGGGCCAGGTCAGGTCAGGTCAGGTCAGGTCAGGTCAGGTCAGGTCAGGTCAGGTCAGAGCCGGCCGGCCGCCGGCAGGTGACCCGCTCAGAGCAGCTCCGGGACGGGGTCAGCGCGTTGGCGGCAGCTGCCGCTCAGCACAGAATGACGGGGAGCCGCGAACAGAGGTGACCGCTGGTCTGCGTATCGCGCCACGCTGGACCAACTCACCCAACAGCCTTAAAGTTCCGCGAAGAAAAAAAGCGGCCACACGCGCGGGACAGCGTGTGTGCAGCAGTTCAAGCAGCTGTCGCGCAAATTCGCACGACCACGCGGGGCATCAACAGATGAACGCAGCCCTTCCATCGATCGCCGACCGACAGCGCCGCACCTCGTGCACGCCTGGCCCCTGGGCCGCACGCTAGAGGTCGGTGCTGCCCTCCCGCACACCACAGCCACGGCCCCTGTCCTGAGCCAGCCGGCCTATCACAGTCGCCCCCTGCCCCTCAGCCGGACTGCAGGCTGCCTCCCGCTCCGCCCGCCGCGCCTCGGCGGCGCCACACTGACCGTTGGCCGCGTCGGCCTGGGCGCCGCCGCCGCTGCCGCCGCTACCGCCGCCGCTGCCGCCGCCGCCGCCGCGCTGGCCTCCAGCCGCCCGGTCGCCGCCCATGTTGAGCTGACGCTGCGCCGACGGCTTGGCCGGCTGCGAGTCGGCCGCCCGCCGTGGCGACATCGTCACGCCCGTGTGCACGTACGTCGTGTCTGCGGGCGCGGGTGCACGGGCGGGTCACGACCGGCCGACCCCAGCGGCGCTCGCGCCCCGCCAAGCGGGCGCGCGCACCGTGCGTGACGCCCCGCCGCCGCCGCCGGGCCGACGGCGACCACCGCCGGGGCTTCAGCCGCTTCACAACTGAGAGCGGTCACAGTCAGGCGTGTGTTCTCGCTCTCGCCAGCAGACAATGCCACTCCCGGGTTGGCACACGCGCTCCATGAGCCCCTGTAACGTGCTGCCCGTTCCCCTCCCTTCCGAATGGCCCGATCAAGACGGAAGTTGCCGTTCGTCCAATGAGACAACGCCGTCCCAGAAACGGCGCAGCGCGACACGCTGACGCTGCCACTGGCTAGAGGACAGTCAACAGTGTTCCCAGTTCGTGCCCGACTGCCAGCCGCGATAAAGCGCGAGCCGGTGAGCAGCCGCCGCCGCCACCCATGCAGTGTCCGCCACTCACCGGTAAGCGCCTGTGAGATGACCTTGGCGGCAGCCGACAGGGCCGAGCCGCGGGACGAGCCCTGCGCCAGAGGTCACCAGTCACACGTCACCGACGCACACAGGCACGGCGGCCCCGCTCAGTGGCGCCGCGCGACGCCGATGGCACCGGCTTGGCAACGGCACCCGAGCGAGCCGCGCCGACCGCACCAAACGGAGAGCGCTGTGTCGCGCGCGCCGCACGGCTGCACTGGACGGACACACCGCGGCCCGTACCGGACGCTCGGGCAGGCTCGGCAGCGCGACACGGCACGGCGACCACGACCTCTCCGTCACTCACCATCCGGCCGCCTGAACATCAACACTGCGAGTACGTGGGAGGCCACAGCTGTCACTCTCGCATCGCCCAGTGCCATTTCACGCTCAGCTCCTGACCAACGTCGTACGTTTAGTTTCATTTCATTTCATTCGTCCTCCTGCCGAGGTCAACAGTCAGTTCCGAACACTGCGGCTGCGTATGGTCATTAACTGGTGTTCGCCTGCCACTCCACCGGCGGCGACCCGCCCAGCGGCGGCCGTCCCCGTCAGCCACCGCGGCCCGACGGGCGCGCCGCTGCCTCACCTTGCCCTCGCCGGCCTGGCCGCCGCCGTGGTGCGGCTTGTGCCGGCCCAGCAGCTGGCTGACGTCGGCGTCCGGACTGTCCGCCAGCTCGGTGATCATCGAGTGGGCCATCTTGACCGCCTCGGCCGAGCCCCTGCGCACAGCCGCCGCGCGCACGCGTCACACCACGGCACAGCGCCCGCCAGCGGGCCTAACGACAAAAGACCGGGGGCCAGAGGTGCGCTGAGGTCACATCGGTGAGCTTCAGGACGCACACCTGTAGCTTACGGGGTCAGAGGCGAAGACGACGAGGAGCAGCGAGGCCGATAACTGGGGAAGTGACCAGGACATTGCCCAATGACGGCAACACTTGGCTGAATATGGGCTGGATCATGTCAGAGGTGGGCCACCCAGGCCCAGTACTACCCGCGTTATGATTCGAAATGTGGCACCGCGCCCAAATAGCACAACCCTTTCCTTACGCGCATTCGAAACACCCTCCTTACATTACTAGCCGAAAGTCACGCTACACCCCGAACAGACAACATTATGCGGCGGCCGATCTACCGCACACACACACACATGCGTCGTCGGACAAAGGCCCAAACTCCCTCCGATCTGCCACCAGCCACTGACTTGATGGTGATGACCCGGTCGGCCTGTCCCTTGCTCTTCTTCTCGATCTCCACGTGCGCGCCGGACAGGTCGCGGATGGCGTTGACGTTGGAGCCGCCGCGGCCGATGACGCGCGAGATGGCGCACGTCGGCACAGTCACGCGCTTGGTGCGCGATGACGAGGACGCGCTGCCGCCGACAGATGCGCCGTGTCACGGGCGATCACCGGGCACGGGCGGGTTCGCCCAGAGCTCGGCGGCGTGGCCGGACCTCACCCGGCGCTGAGCGGTGTGCCGAGCGCCCGACCACCGCGCACAGCACGCCGCTCGTCCCGCTCCACAGAGGTCACACCACACACGGCATGGAGAGCGCCTCACGGAGGGCAGGCGCGCCACGTGGCGCGGAGATCACGTGAAGGCAACACACGCACACACAGACCGCCGAACAGGCGCGGAGGCAGAAAACGCGTCGGTCCGACGGTTCAGGGGCAGCTCACCGCGTGACGCAGGTCACGGAGGTCAGAGGTCGCCACTCATCACATCACACAGAGGCGATGATTGAGACAACAAAGTGGTTGCGAGCTGCCAAAAAGAGGTCGAACGCAGCGCTCCTAGGTCCCAAGCCACCCCACATACATTACACAGACTGGGGATCGGCAGGTCTTCAGCATGGCACAAATGTCGCACAGCCGTCCCACTGAGGACTAACACAGCACACGCACCAGCGGCCACGACAAGCGTCACAGCCTGGCGTCCGGCGTCCGCCCCGGCTCACCTGCGCGTGGTCACCTCCCGCCAGCCCTCCTCGCGGCTCTTGCCCTTCTTGGGGCTGGCGGCGGCGGCGGCGGCGGCCGCGTAGCCGGGCGAGCGCAGGCCCACCGGCAGCACGAGCGGACTGCGCGCCGGCAGGCCCGGGATCAGGCGGCGCTCCTCGAACGTCGCCATGTCCGTGAACGCGTCCCTGGCGGGGTGGAGGCGGCGGCCCGGTCACGGCCCGCTCGACTCGGCGACTCGGCGCGCCAGCCGCCCAAGCAGCCGGGACACAGATGCCGGAGCGACGCCTCGTCGCCAGATCCAGGCTCTTTCCACCAGAAAACACGTGGGTCCTCCGAAACGACAGCATCACGCAACTGGGGTCCAGACGACCGTCATTGCCGACCTCCCACTGATCCAGGATCCGGCCGGCGAACACCACGGCCGACCGTCACCACCACCCACCACCTACTACAAACGCCGCCCAAACTATCCGCCGCCCCCCCCCCCCCCCCCCCTCTCTCTGAAGGCCACACCAGCCGCTCGCCCGGGCGGCACACTCACGGCTTGTCCTTCTTGCCGGTGCGGCCGGCGGCGGCGGCGGCCGTCGTGGCGCCGGCGCCCGCCGACGACGAGACGGCGCCGGCGGCCGCCATGCGCTCGCGCTCTTCCTGCATGCGCTTCTGTTTGTCCTTTCGGCGGCTCTTGGCCGGCGCCGGCGGCTCGGTGATTACAGCCGGCTGCGGCGCGATCGCCACCGTCGGTGGCGTCCGGTCCGTGTCGTTCATCGTCACCTCTTGCCTGGTGGCGGCCGAGCCCAGCGGGCGCGTCACCACACGGCACGGTACGGTGTGGCACGGCACGGCACGGCACGGTCACCACAGGGCACGGACACCACAGGTCAACACACGACACGGTGCGGCACGGTGCGGCACGGGGGGCGGTCAGGACACGTGTAACGCCCCCCCCCCCCTCCCCCGCTCCCCTCGCCTGCCGCGAGGGTGGGGGGGGGGGGGGGTCACCGCACGGGACCTCCCGCCTTCCGGACGGTGAGCGGCGGCAGAAGATACATGGTCACCGTCATCCCACAGGAACACCGTGACGGAAAGCCGCAGCGAAATTGATTTTAGCCAAAAAGGGGTCTAAGTAAAGCCGTACTAGGGACGGACATCATTGAAAGAAGTAAATAAAAAAACGTCACAAAACCGAATGAATTTGACACACATAGTAGAATTTCACAGAACTTGGTAGGGATCTTCCAGATTCGTCACAGACAAATAATTTGAAGTTGTGATATTTGTCTGACGTTATCGCGGACGGAGTCCGAAGAACGGTCAGCCTAGCTCGAAATGGCAACGGCGGTTGAAAACAATGGGAATGCAATGCAAGTGCTTTTCCATCCTTGTTCATGGGAGCCATCCGAAATCATGGCGAAATATGGCGCAGTTCCTTACGTCGGCACGATGCACGCTCACGGTATTTACAATGTAACACGATTAATCCAAAACATTGGATACTCCTTACGTTCGTATGATGCACATTAACAAGTATTTCCAATAAAGGTCCAATTAACTGCAGGAGTCCAGGAGCCAAAACACCTGCTCCGGTCACCAATGAGCTGACAATCATCCCGCCTGACTTTTTCACATGACATTGCGTGTTGCCCACGTGCCATACCGTTTGTTGGGTTCTCCCTTGTCGCGCTGGGCGTCAAACAGCTGTCTGCGCCGTTTCTCGTCGCGTTTGGCGCGCTTGCCGGTGGTGGGCCCGTTGGCGGCGGCGGCCGGCTGGCCGGGCGCAGCGCCGGGGGCGGCGGCGCCGTCGGGCGGCCGCGCCATGCCGTCCCCTGCTGAAACAACGCCGCCGCCGTCACCCGGCTGCTGCGCACATCCCCGTACTCCTCCCGACCAGCCCACCTCCGCATACAGGGGTCAGGTGACGCCGAACACTCACACCGGTCACTGGCGGACGCAGAGGCGTGGCCGCTGCGCCTGCTCGTCTCCCCTGACCTAACCCACGCGGCTGAGCGCACAGCACATGCCCCGCATCACGTGCAGCGCACAGCACCGCGGGACCCCGCCCGCCGGCACGCAGACGTCAGTCCATTGTCACAGGTGCCGGCGAAACGCCACCACGCCGCTCGATAGTCGATAGAATGAGTCCACCAATGGCGTAACCGTAAACAGCGTGCAGCTGCCAGCGAAAACGTCAGCAGGATTGCAGCTTTGAGCTCGGTCAACCGGTGTCTCGTATTATTCACGAGACCACGCATTCACACGGGCCCCAGAAGCTGTGCAACCGCGATGGCTTGAACGCGTCAGTAAGCGACGTGCCGCACATAGAACGATTAATTAATAATCTGAAGTGGCTGCGGGCTGAACAAGCTCTGTGCGCTCAACATCACACAGCTCCGGCGACAGCACCTCTGCCGTGGCAGCAGGTGAGCACCAGAGCACCCCGCCCACATCCGGCCACGCCCCGCGCTCGCCCCCCCCCCCCGCGCCGCGCCGGGCACCCGTCCGCAGGTCCCGTGCGGCCGCCGTACCTGACGACGTCGACGACTGGCTGGTGGCGTCGAAGCCGCTGTCGCGCTCGGGGCTGGCGCGGCCGCGCGGCTGGGCGGCGGCGGCTGGCGGCGGCGGCGACTCGCGGTCCTCCGGCTCGGCGGCCGGCGCCGCGCCCGGGATCAGCTCGTCTGCCAACGGCCGGGCCCACACCGGTCAGCCGCGCGCGCGCCCCGTCACAGCGCCATCAGGCACGCATCACGCATAAATGTGCCAGCGCGCATCAAGCGCGGTCGCCCGGTGAACACAGGACGCCATACCATAGCAGGCGAGGCGAACTCATGGCACGCCTTCACCCACCAACGTCACTCTTGCACGGCTTCCGTGATCTTCAACCCCTCCCTGCCGGCCCCACTCTTTCCCTGCCAGCACGCGTACCCCTCCCGAGACCCGCCCTTCTGTACTCCACCATGACCAGCTTCTCCCCGAGCCAACCGCCGCTGACCGACTCTTTACCTCTCTTGCGCTGTCTCTCACACTCCTCCCCCCAGACAATATTCGTGCTCGAAACCCCCGCCCATCCTCGTCCTCCGTCTCTGACCGCAACAGCCCCCCCCCCCCCCCCCCCCAGTCCTCGCCATCGGCCAGCCAGCTCACGCTCGTCGCCGCTCTCGTCCTCGTCCTTCGCCTGACGCGTCTGCGACTGGCGCTTCTTCTTCTTCTTGTCGCGTTTCTTGGCGGCCAGACACTGGCGCTGCTTTTGGATGGCGTCCTCCTGCGCCAGCTCCTCCAGCAGCGAGGTGGCGTTGCGGTTGGCCTCTGCCGCCTGCCGCTCCTTCGCCACGCGGATTATGTCCACGCACGCCTGGCACTTCTTGGCCAGCTCCTGTGATGGCACAGGGCACACGCTGTCACCACATCAAACGCATGGCTCTTGGCGAGGCATGGGGAGGGGGCCTCGCACACGCCAGGCACACGATCGTCGTGGCGGCGGGGAGTGGGGGGGGGGGGAGGGGGGGGGGGCGTTAAAAGGGTCCGACACGGACGGAGGAGAACAGGAAACCCACCCATAACTGCGCCCTTTTTAATATCTTCTAGATACAGCGGGAGGAGTTTCGCAAGCGTGATGCCCGCTATGAGCCTCTTCGCCGAGTGCAACACGTCCCAACGAACCAAACCAAATAACAAATACTGAACGACCTCGCAACTACGCACTTCAACAGTTGCATCATTTTCCAACTTGACCATCTATCTGCACGGCCGACGCGCCGCTCTCGAGCTCGCCCGCTCACAGGCTTCCGAGATGGCCGGCCAGCCGGTGCCGGCAGCGAGACAGCGGCGTCCACTCACCTTGTCGCTGACCATCTGGAGGAAGCGCGTCAGCTCGGTGTCCGACGGGAACTGGGAGACGTGCTTCACCATCCACTTGACCACCTTGATATGGCCGCGCCTGTACGCGGCCATCAGGCAGGACACCTGGCGGCAGCGGCGGCGGCGGTGAAGGTCGGACCTACGATCTTAGTGACAGTTTCTCTCCGACATGAGTAACATCTTCTACAGTTCCTCTCCGACATGAGTAACATCTTCTACAGTTCCTCTCCGACATGAACAACATCTTCACCGTAGTTAGGGCGATGAACAAAAACAAACGGCAGCGCTCGGCATCAGTTCGACATGGAACAGTATGCTTTTCATGTGTATCTTCGTTAATTAAGAATGCCCCCCCCCCCCCCCCCCCCCACTTCCGATGGACCCACGAGTCGTTCGCAAAATATGTCTGGTGCGTAAAGAAGCCTGACCGGGGGTGGCCTAGTCAGCGTTCGAAGGGTGCCGCGTCTCGCGGCCAGGCTGGTGAGTGGGGTCCGCCGCGGCGGGCACGTCTCTCTAGCTGAGGAAACACTCGTCTAGCGTAGCTGATCTCGCTGATCGCGCGCACCACCGGGACTTCCTGAAGGTGTACAGGGCGCTGCACGTTCCCCCAACCCTCCAGCGTTTTGCGTGCTCCGTTCGTGACGCGTGTGCTCCATTCATGACGCGCGCCGAGACCTGCCACCGTTTAAGTCGGGCTGTTTAGAGCGGTGTCGGCTCGCTACATCTGCCGCGCGTCCGACTGACCCCCACCCAGCCGCATTTTCCCTGCCAAGCTCTCGCCGCCTGGAACCTGCTGACGCGGCGGTAGTCCTCGCCACTCCCCCCCCCCCCCCCCCCACGCCGGGATCGTGACCGTTTTAAATCGCCGATTCATTGACTGGAACTGTTTCGTTTATGCGTGTATCTGGATCTCCCCGTGTGCTGTGTATTTCTCTTGCACTCATCAGCGCAGAACCACCACCACGTGGATGCGCCTCCCAATAAATACATATCAATGTAAAAACTGTAGGTCATTTGATAACGACTCGTCTTGGGGGAGGGGTAACAATGCCGACGACGAGGGGCTAGCGACTTTCGCGCCCAGGCGGAGAGGCCCGGGGAGGGGGGGGGGGGGGTCCGAACCGGCGGCCAATCAGATGCACCATCACCAGTCGCGACGCAACCCTGACCAGTGCTTCCCCTCCAGCACGCACGCCTGAACCCCGGAGCCGGCACACCACCGAGGGACGACCCCGCCGCCCTCCAGTCGTCGGCCGCGGCGCCAGCGGGCCGCGCCACCCACCTTGCGATTGTCCTGAGCGTCAATGTTGGCGCCGGCCGTGTACAGCAGTTGCACGACGTCCAGGTGGCCGCCGTTGGCCGCCAGCCACAGCGGCGTGTTGCCCTTCTTGTTGCGCACCTCCGCCTGCGCCCCCCTGCACGACACAGCAGCGGCGGGGGAGCCGGTCAGGAGCGGCGCTCATGTCAAGGGTCGGGTCGCGGGCCACGGACCACGGGTCACAGGTCACGGGTCGGAGGCCCACCGTCGGTTGAGTGGCGCACAGCACGGGCCACCAATCAACACCGGGCGGATCAACACCGCGCACAATACGCCCGCTCCGCTCGGCGGCCGGCCGGAGATACTGGCATGCCACTGACGGCGTCACCTCACGCCTGGCGGGAGCATCGAGCCGCGACAGCCCGCTCCCGCCACAGAGCAGCTGGCCGAACGCCAGGCACCGATGAGCGGCACCTCTCGCGAGGCCATCCGACCCCCGACCACTCGGCCGCCCCGGCCACAGGCACATCGCTCGCGCCCCTCCCGCTCGCGCGCCGACAGACTCACCGCGTGACGAGCAGCTCGACGAACTTGTAGTGTCCCTTGTCGGCGGCGATCGTGAGCGCTGTGTCGCGGCTGCTGGGCACCGGCGCCGCGTTCACGTCGGCGTACTTGTCCAGTAGGACGCGGCCCACCTCCACGTAGCCGCCGCTCGCCGCCTCCATCAGCGGCGTGAGGCCAGTCTGCGGCGGCGGCCGGTCAGCGCCGAGGCACCAGGGGATGACGGGCCGGCGCACGACAGGGCAGTTCGGGCACTTGTGGACGTGGGGCTCGGGGACGCCCGGACGTGGGACGTCTGAACGTGGGACGCTTGGACATGGGATGTGTGGACGTGGGACGGGACAGGTCGGCGGGGGTGTTGCGGGCGGCGCCAGAGCGCCCCAACGAAGCGCTAGAAATCAGCTGGGGTAGGCGGCGGCGTCCGTGCACCGATCGTGCTTCCTCAGACATGGATACCAAAGTCAATAATTCCCTGGCTGAATTATGCGCCCCTTGCTGCTGTGCGCCAATTAATAAGCACGAGCGCCGGGCAAGTGCCCATGTAGAGAAACGGTCCTGCGCGCCGCGTCCACCGTCTTCCATTTAAACCAAACACGGCACGGCGAAGCCCGTCGACACAGCAGCCCGTGGTCAGCCGATCCGCGCCGCGCTCGCTCGCCACCCAGCAGTTCACGCGGACCCTCCGCGCTCACTTCCGAGCGCCAGCGCTCCTGTGCGCAGCACGCCGCCCAGCCCGTGATCACGTGTCCCCTTCACCGCACCCCCCCCCCCCTCCCCCTCCAGGGCGGACGTTACCTTGGCGCGGTGCTCGACGTAGGCGCGCCGGTCCACCAGCAGCTGCACCACCTCGTGCCGGCCTTGGAAGCAGGCCAGCGTCAGCGCCGTGTTGCGGTTCGTCTCGATCTGAGCGTTGATGTCGCTGCCCATCTCCAGCAGCAGCCTGTGGCCAGGGCGACGGCCGTCGCGTCAGAGCGCCGCTCGGCCGGCGCGTCCTGGCCGCTCGGACGCCGGGCGCGGCCGGAGCCGGCCGCATGCGAGGGACGCCCGGGCGTGCTGGACACTGGGCTCCGTGAGTCGCAAACTCACCGTTCACCACGCCCGGTCGGCACTCGTCCAAATCCAGTCAACACATCATGCCGCGTAGAGCTCTTGGCAGCAGAAATAATGCGCGTACAAGTGATGACCGTACAAGTTTTTGCGGTGGAAGTAATGACGTAATCACAGCATCGGATTCTTGCAGTAGCACACGGAACGGGTATAAGCATTTGTAGCACAAGTGTTGTCTAATGCCGCGTACAGGTACTGGCAGCAGGGATCAAGCCGCAGCAGTCTATGGTCGGCTGGAGTTAAAACAGCCGCACCGGTGCGGCGGAGCCGGCCGGCCGAGTCGGCAGCGCCTGCTCACTTGACAGCCGCCGTATGCCCGTTCATGGCAGCCAGCATGAGCGGCGAGATGCCCAGCTTGCTGCCCGTCCTGCTGTTAATCTCGGCGCCATTCTGCAGCAGCAGCTTGATGATGTTGACGTAGCCGCCGGAGGCCGCCAGCGACAGCGGCGTGTAGTCGGACACGTTGCGGTGCTCCTTGTTGCCGCCGCTGCCGGACGGACCGGACGGCAGGCGGTGAGACACCGCATCGGCGCACACACTAGCATCACATACCGGCTAGCGCCGTCACAGCACGAACACTCAAACACAGGAGCACAAGCGCTCGGTCACGCGTATCAATCTACATCTCTGGCTGTGCATGGCGGACACACGCGGAGAGGCCGGCACTGGACCGGCCACGCCTCTCCCGGCTTTTTACCAGCAGGTGTGCACTGTCCACCCACCGGCCGCGCTCGCCCCGTCCCCGCCCGAACTCTGTCAGCGTCTCCCGGAGCCTCGTGCCTCTCCTCCCGCCCCGCCCCGACACCTCCCACGCCCGCTGTCCGCCCTCCGGTCCAGGACCAGAGAGCTCACTCACTGCCTAAGCAGGATATCGACCACCTCGTAGCGCCCGCCGGAGCAGGCGAGCGAGAGCGGCGTGTCCTTGGTGCGCTCCGACTGCGCCTCGATGTCGGCCTTGTTGGCCAGAAGGATCTCCACCACGCCCGCGTGGCCGGCCGTCGCCGCCAGGATCAGCGGCGTGAAGCCCTTCTTGTCGCGGTGCTCTGCCGGCGTCGGAGCGCCGCGTCAGGCGCCGGTGCCCGCCGCACCGCTCCACACACTGCGCGCCGATTCACCGGCCGGGCTCGGGCCGCCCCCAACGCACCGCCAGGCGACGCCCGACGCGCCGTCGCCGGCGCCATTCATCAGTGCTGGCGCTGACGAGATCAAACGAACAACCGGCCTACCGGCACTCCGCCGCACGACACAACAGAATACTCGCGGAGGTGAAACACAACGCATATATATATATATATATATATATATATATATATATATATATATATATATATAGCACTCCTCTGCATGGCACATACAGCAAAAGTCGCGCTAGCGATACATTACAAATCAATACAAAGAGCCTGCCAGCGCCAGAGCGGAGGCGCTCCAGCCGAGGCCGGCGAGAGCGCGCGGCCGCGCGCCGCCGTACCGATGTGGGCGCCGCGCTTGAGCAGCAGCTGCACGAGCTCCTCGTGTCCGCCGGCGCAGGCCAGCGTCAGCGCCGTGTCGTGGTTGCTCTCCGTCTCCGAGTTGAGCTGGTCGGCCGTGGCTTGGCCCGGGTACGGCGCGCCGCCCACCGCCGACACCGGCACGCCGCCTGCCGGGCCGACAGGGCGCCAGCGTCACCGTCGACATCAGGTTACGTCAGGTCACATCAGGTCACACCGCAGCGACGCTTCGCCGACAGGGGCGGCCCTCCGCGCCGTGCACACACCACAGAGTCGCCTCCTCTCCCCTCCCTCGTGCAGGTGCCCGACGTAACCGGTCAGACGCGGGCAGCGCGCTCCCACGCGGGGCGCGGCAGCACCGGGCACGCGCGTGTCCGCGTCACGACCCCCGGCCAGTGCGGTGCGGCCGTCACGGCGCGTCCCGTCCGTCCAATGGTGCCCGGCTGAGGGCGGCCGCTCACCGGCCGGGGTTCGGGTCGCACCGACAGTTCGCAACACGTTCGGTCCTCACGAAACCTCGCGCGAGGAAGCCAGCGGGCCGGCGGCGCTGGTCGGCAGTGACGGGCGGGTCGCGCCGGCCAGCGCCGCTGGTCGGCAGTGACGGGTCGCGCCGGCCAGCCTGCCGCTCCCCGGAGCCGGCGATGGGGGCGGGAACCGCGCGGCGGCAGGGAAGGGATGGCGCAGAGCTGCGGAGATCAGGGTGATTTGGGGGTGTAACGGCTAACATGTAGGGTAATTCAGCGACGAAATTTCTCCCCTCCTCTCGATCGAATTCCGAGCTAGGAGTGGGAGACGGGAGGGGGGGGGGGGGGGGGTGGCGAGTGGCAGCGACAGCTCGGCGACCGCGGGAGAAAATGGAAAGACAGCTGGAGAAGAGGCACGAGAGAAGAGGACCCGAAAATGCAAGGAGGGAGGCAACAGGAGACAGATCTAGAGGGGATGAGGACCGAGGGAGAGAGCGGAAGCAAAGGGCAGATGCATATTCAAGGTGAGGGGGCCAGCAAGATGACACGCACCAGGAGGCGGAGGGGGCCGCGGAGACTCCGACAAAGGACGGGCATGAGGCGGAGGAGACTTCCGACAAGCGGGACGGGTATGAGGCGGAGGACGACTCCGACAGCGGGCGGGTATGAGGCGGAGGAGACGCCGACAGCGGGCGGGCATGAGGCGAAGGAGACGCCGACAGGGGGCGGGATGAGACGGAAGAGACTCCGACAGCGGGCGGGCATGAGGACGGAAGACTCCGACAGCGGGCGGGCATGAGACGGAAGAGACTCCGACAGCGGGCGGGTATGAGACGGAAGACTCCGACAGCGGGCGGGCATAGGCGGAGGAGGCGCCGATAGCGGGCGGCCGCGAGGCGCAGGGAGTGCGGAGCGGGAGGGCGGGCAGGCTCACCGGGGTAGGCGGGCGCCGGCGGCTGCTGGCCGGCGGGCGCCGGCGCGCCGTACGCCAGGTTGAGCGGCGGCTGGCAGTTGTGCAGCCCGGTCAGGCCGTGCAGGGTGCCCAGCTGGTAGCCGCGGGACCAGTCCGCCGCTGGGGGACAGGCACAGGCACAGGCGGCCGCCGGTCAGCCGGCCGCCGGCCGCCCACCCACCCACGCAGCCCCGCCGCACCATCACACCACACGCTGTCAGGGCACCGCCGCCGTCGCTTCGCCGGCACGCCGGCCGCCGGGCGAGTGCCGAAGCGCCACGGGGGCAGCGCCTCGCCCGCTCCGCCGGCGCGGCCCGCCAGCGCTGCGGGCCGCGCAGGCCCGCCACACCGCCGCGCGCCCCCCGCAGCGGCGCCTCCGCACACAGCCGGCAGCACACGGGCCGCGCAGGCCCGTCACACCGCCGCGCGCCCCCGCAGCGGCGCCTCCGCACACAGCCGGCAGCACACGGGCCGCTGTTTCACTGCCGGCGCGGCGGCCGCACCACCCCGCCGCCGCCACGCTCCCCGTGCCCGGCACGTACCTTGTTCGGCGGTGAGCTCGGCTTGGTCGGTCGGGCCCGGCCGGTACAGCGTGTCGTTCAGAGTGCGCGCCGGCGCCGCCACCTGCCCAGTCGAGGTCCGCACGTCAGCGCGCAGCAGGGCGCGGCCAGGCCGGCATCTGCACCCGCCCACGCCATGAGACGGCGCGCCGGCAAACGAGCAGCACAGCCCGCGCCGTCTCCATCCCGCAGAATGAGACACACCCATGTAGTCTTATGGCTGTCACCCGGCTGGCGATGCCGTCTGGGCGCTGTGGAGGACGCCGACGCTAACCGAACTCGCCGTACAGAGCCCGCGGACACGAGCGGCGGCCAGTGCGCCGATGAGGACCACACACACGCGGCACCCCGCTGACAGACGGCGCGCACACCGGACAGAGCGCAGCTGCCGCCTGGTGACGTCACTGGGGACTCGGCGCGCCTCCCCACCGGTGCTGTGGTCCTGACCTGAACACGCCTGGCCCGGCGGCCGGTGACGGGTCCTGACCCCCTCCCCGCCCCCACCCAGTGTGACAACCAGAGGACCTCTGACCGAATCCGTCCCAGGAGAACAGTCGGCCACCCCATGACATGCTAGCCTGTCCTGTCGCCGGCCCCGGCTCCAGTGCCGGCTCTGGCCCCGGCCCCGGCCCCGGCCCCGGCCCCGGCCCCGGCCCCGGCCCCGGCTCTGGCTCTGGCCCCGGTCCGGGCCCCGCAGACACGCACCATAAGGCCGGTGTTGGTCTGGATGTGGGCGGCCACGTCGTCGGCGGCTAGCGGCGGCCCGAAGGCGGCGGCGCCCGGCTCGGCCGACACCAGCAGGGCGTGCGGCTGTACCTGGCCACACACCGGGGCACGTCAGGCCACGTCAACAGCACACGCTAGTCCGGCTTAGCCGGGCCGGAGGAGCCCGCACACAAGCCGTCACACAGCGACACGGAGACGGCGCCAGGGAGACGGGGCGGGACCGGACGGAGCGTCAGCACGCTCTCCAGAGCTGACGTCACCACCGTCACAGGCGAGTGGGCTGCTCTCCGGACGCAGTACGTCCCGCTCTGGTTTGGTCCCCTCACAGCGATCCCCGCGACTGAGAACCTCCCGGTCGCCCCAAAAGTGTGGGTTTCTCCAGTCACGCGATGGATTCCATCACATGACCATACTGCCCCCGACTGATCCTGTGCCTGGCAATGTAATGCTCTCGAAGCGACGCGTCCACCCGCTGTCAGGTGACTGATGACACCTCCCTCCCCCTGCCTCAGAGGATCGGCCGTCGAGCCCTGACACCCAGACCGAGCGCAACTCCCACACTCCCGCGACCGTGACCTCTCCCCCTTCCCGCCGCTCTTCAGACCTGGGCCGCCGGCTGGCCGCGGTTGTTGGGCTTCTTCTTGACCTTCTTGTCGACGCCCGCGGCGGCGGCGGCAGCAGCGGCGGCGGCGGCGGCAGCGGCGGCCGAGGCGGCGGCGGCCGGCGGCGCCAGCTCCAGCGGCAGCTGCTGGCCGGTCGCCAGGTCGAGCGGCAGCGCGCCGGCGCCGGGCGGCACCAGCTGGCCGGGCGGCGCCAGCTCCAGCGGCAGCGCGCCGGCCGCCAGCTGCGTCGGCGTCAGCTCCAGCGGCAGGCCGGCGGCGTTGGCCGCCAGCTGGCCGGGCGTCAGCTCCAGCGGCAGGCCGGCCACGTACTGGCCCTGCATCGCTGCGGCGGCGGCGGACGGCACACGGTCAGCGGCGGCGGGGGCACGGACTCGGACCCAGTCGCGGCCGGCGGCCGGCGACATGGGACCGCCAGAGGCGTGACGGCGGGGCCGGCCGGCGACGCCAGACTACACAGACGCCCCGCATACAGGCCATCGGCGCGCCACAGCTGGCGACACGTATCAGTGCAGCGACGTTGAATGAGCCGCGCTCTGCTCGGACGCTCACCCGTGCCTGCGCGGGGCAAATCCACAACGACGTCGGCCCACTTATCACGGCTGTGGTCTCCCTCAGTACAATCAAAGGCAGACGCATCCATACTGAGGTGTATGTACCACACATGTACGTCACACGCTGCTGTGAGTGTGCCGCCGGTGACCGCCGACCTCGCCCCGCAGCGCCTGCTGCGGCTGTAGCAGCGGCGCATACAAGTGGAAGCGTCTGCGTCTCCACCCACATGATCGTGATCTGCCGCGCCGGCGCTGTCCGGCCCGGCCTCGGCACTCTGTCCGCCCGCCCGCACGCGCGCGACTCACTGAGCTGGCTCTGAAGCAGCTGCAGCTGCTGCGGCTGCAGGCCGAGGTGGGCCTGGTAGGCGGCGGCCGCCTGCAGCTGCTGGTACTGCCGCTGGATGCCGCTGGGCGGCGCCACCTGCAGCCCTGCGCACACACCGGGTCCGGTTACCGCCCCGGCACCTGCTGATCACACGCCGAGAGACGGGGCAACATCAAACGACGCCGCGCGGCCGCGCCCCTCGGCGCTCACAACGGCGAGAACGCTGACAGTGGGGATGATGATGATGATGATGACAAGACTCGTGAGATGAATATGATTGTTCAGGTGATGATGGCAAGACTCTAATTATGGCGCCGCGCGAATGACGCTGTGATGGCGATGGCCGGGAGGACCAGACATCGTGACAATGGAGAACACCAGGTCAATCCGCGGGCATCGGGCATGGCAAGGCGGACGTAGGACAGGCCACTGGAACGCGCTCACGTACCGCGGACATGCGCCATCTGACGCAGAACAGACCCCCTCCCCCCCCCCCCCGCGGACAAGCGACGGTGAGGTCCCACCAGCAAGGTAATGCAGCCACCACCTCTATCCTGCGTCGAGTTCCCCGCCCGGCCCAATATCGGGTCTTCAACGCAACGTCCGCCGACACGCCCCGAACGTACGTCAGGTATTAATGTCATGCGCCAGTGTTGCCACGGAGCCAGGGCGCCAATCAGCTACCTTACGCCACACACCGGCTCCCTGGTACCCCTCCCACGCAGCGCCTGACTTAAAACACGCTGCCACGACCCGCCCGCCGTGTCCGTTACCACACGCCTGCGCAGCCTGCAGTTCACGCTGCGAGGGCCGCCACATTCCCGTCGATGTGCGCCTGAGGGACGCCTTACTGACACGTGCCGCCCAGAGACCACGCTCGGGCCGTCCGCCCGCCCCGTCTGACGTCATCGGCTGGGGCCAGTCCTACTGCCGGCCGCCGCCACCGAAGCCGTGTCAGTCGCGCACCCCTCCCATGAGTTCGTTCTCCTCCCATGGATCGTTGTTATGACTGCCGCAAGCCTCAGGTCAGCGCTGTCCCGTGCCCGCCGACCACCGGGGGCCCGCTCTCCCACTGGGACCACCCGTCCCTCCCGGCTCTGTACCCGGCCACCGTAAGGCTCCTTCAGCTCCATCCCCCGACACCCGCCCGCCTCTGGACGCCCACGCAGCCCAGCTGCCGCTCCGCTTCGCAGTCACGGCCGGCCTGCTGCTCCTCTAGCACAGTGCAACACCAAGCCCATTTCCCCCTGTCACGGCCTGTGAAATCCTGGAGCCCGGTGCCGGCCGGCCCTTCCTACGGGGCGCGCGAGGCGTCGCCGCCGCCACCGTACCCTGCGTGTTGAGTCCGGTGAACCGGAGGCCGGCGGCCGTGCAGGCCACCTGGGCGGCCTCGGCGTCGGCGGCCGCGGCCGCAGCCGAGGCCGGGGCCGGCGGGCGGCCGCGGCACGGCGAGCAGCTGCCCTCGCGCCGCTTGACGCCCTGCGCGGCCGCCGACGCCGCCGCCGACGGCCGGTCCTTGGGCGGCGCCGCGGCCGCCGCCGCCGACGGCGACGGCTCGCCGGCCTGGCGCGACCGCTTGGCGCCTGCTGCCGGGCAAGGTATGGCGGTTAGTCGCCGAAGCTCGGCCCAGGCGCCGGTTCGAATCTCGCGGCACGAAACTTTCGCTCAACCGGCTTGCACACCTTTCCAGCACGCCCATGGCCTCAGCGCCCAGTCAGTCACTACCTCAGCGATCTACCAATCTACCTCAGCGATCTACAGCACGCCGAATGGCTCAGTGACGTCATCTACTCGACATATCCGACAAATCACTGCAGCGATGCTGTGACTGGCCGACCATGGGGCGGGGCTCCGCCGCCGTCCGGCCGGCGGCCGCGCCCGGAGCGTCTGCAGCGCCGCCGGCCAACCGCGCGTCGGAAGACCAGGCCGGAGCGGGCCGGCCAGGCACGTACCAGCCGTGTCCTCTTCGGAGGGCGGCGGTGGTGGCGGCGGCGGCGGAGGCGGCTCGTCTCGGCTGGGCGGCGGCGGCAGGTGCGGCGTGTGCAGCAGCTGGTGCTCCACCTGCGCGCCCCGTCACGGTCACGGTCACCGTCACCGTCAAGGTCACGGTCTCAAAGCATGCCGTCGCGGTCATTCTCGCCGCGCTGCGTCCCGTCAGGGTGTGTTTGGCTTTCGTCTTCCTAAATCGTCAAACATGGCGTCATAAGACGGGCGCACGGGCCAGGCGGCCTGCGAATCGGTTCACTGTGGCGGACTAGGTCAGGGAGTAATGAAGCCGGTGCGGGGCACCCACATAGCCGTCACGGACAAAAGCAAAACAGAGTGGCGTGACTCGCAACGGCTATGGCACAACGCTGGCGGCGACGACGCGCCATTTTCCGCTACACGTCATTTCATCCATATTCCATCGCCAGCTTAACACGTTCCAAAGCCTCCCAGCTTCTTATGAACAGCCCCACTGATTTCTGGCATTGTATTCTGCATGCTATACCACCACAAGGGCGTGGGCAGGAGCCGCCGTCCATGACCGACTGACACGCACCTGCTGCTGGAACTGCTTGATCTGCTGCTGCAGCTGCTTGCGCTGCTGCAGCAGCTGGATCTGCTGGCGCTGGTGGAACTGCTGGCCGGCCGCCGAGCCGCCTGCCTTCGTCTCCAGCTGTCGGCGAGCGGGCCGGTCCGTCTCAGACACACGCCCCGATACGCTCGAGGCCCGCTTCAGACATCGTTAGGACGTGCCGCCGGCGAGACCCGACCTGCGCCCAGCCACGCCCATCGACGGCACACCGCTGCTCGACACCGGCCGAACGCTGGCCGCCCGCCTCCGAGCCGTCTCTGGCCGTCGCCGCCCGGCAGAACAGCGCCAGCACCGTCACCGTCACCGTCACCACAGTTGACGTGACCAATCTGCCACCTGGGCTGCCCCGCACCCCGAGCGACGCGCGCCCGACCACTGACCTGCCGCTGCGCCATGACCGTCTGCTCCAGCTGCTGCAGGGCGGCCACGTTCTGCTGCAGCTCGGCCAGCTGCTGCTGGTTGGCCGCCAGCTGGGCGGCGCTGGTCAGCTGGTTGGCCGGCGGCGGCGCGGCCGGCGACGCCGCCTTGCCCGCCGGCGGCGCGCCCGCCTGCCGGAGCGGCACACGGCACGGCATTAGACGCGCGGCGGACCCCCGACAGCCCGACCACGGACGGGCCGGTGGCAACAGGCAGGCCGCGCACCAGCCACAGCAGCGCCACACACAGCCACAGGCGGGCGGCTCGACTTCCGAGCAGCGCCGCCGCCCGCACAGCTCTGCACGCGGTCCTGACCGTGCGCCAGACGTCAAGCAGCGGGCCGACCGATGCGGCGGGGTCCGGCCGCGACGGCCTCTGACGGCGCCCACCCACCAGCCGGTCTAGAAAGCACGCGCCCCGAGGCGCACGCGTACCTGCCGCGGGGCCTTCTTCTGCTCCTTCTTGCTGACCGGCTTGGCCTTGGGTCTTTGGTCGGGCGGCGCCGGCGCCGCCGGCGACGGGTTGGACACGATCACCGACTCCCGACTCTGCGGCGGACGCGCGGTGACGGCCGGTCAGCACCGAGCGCCGCGCCTGGCGACGGGACCGAGCGGGCGCGCGGCCGACGGCAGACGGCCGAGGGCGCCGACCGCAGCAGGGCGCGCGACAGACAGGACGCCGAGCGAACACCGGACGCGCACAGCAACAGCGGAGCGAAGGCTGACAGCTCGGAACGGAGTCAGAAGATAACGTCCTTCAGTAAAGTACTGGTGAAACGGCTCAAATAACATGCACTACTTGTCACAAATTCACCACATGGAGTCAGCACGCTGCTCAGGCGACCCGCCTCCCCACCGCTGGAGGCAGAGAGCGTGCCGGGCGCGCAGCCTGGGGGAGGGCCCCACTGTCCCCACAGAGCGGCGGCAGCGCGTGCACGCGATGCTCACCTGCGGCAGAGCGGCGGCTGAGAGGGCGGCGGCCGCCTCAGCCGGCGCGCCCGCCGCCTCCACCAGACCGGGCAGGCCCTGGAAGCGGCGCAAGTCCTCCGGCATGCGCGACGCCAGCGTCTTGGTCAAGTTCGTCAGCTTCTCGATCTCCTCGCCCTCCTGCCAGCGCGCGAGGACCGTCATCACAGGCGCTATGACCCGCAGCGGCGGCGCCAAACCACGACATCACGTCTAAAAGGTCCACAACCGTGATACACCGTGTCATGAGGACGTACCGCGCGCGATTTAGACACACCATCGCAACACAAGCCCAGCGTACGCGGAGACCATGGACGCATTCCTTCCAAGCAACTGCACCAACGGGCCCAGCCGATCTCCGTGGATGGAGGCCAGCAACGGAGTCCGATCCGCTCGTCCCGCAGCCGCAGCCGGGGCCGGGAACGGGAACGGGAATGGGAACGGGGCCAGGGCCGGGGCCGGGAACAAGAACGGTAACGGGAACGGGAACGGGAACGGGAACGGGAACGGGAACGGAAACGGAAACGGGAACAGGGCCGGTGCCGGGAACAAGAACGGTAACGGGAACAGGAACGGGGCCGGGAACAAGAACGGTAAGGGGAACGGTAACGGTAACGGTAACGGTAACGGTAACGGTAACGGTAACGGTAACGGTAACGGTAACGGTAACGGTAACGGAGCCGGGGCCGGGGCCGGGGCCGCACCTGATCGCTGACGTCCGGCCGTCGGAGCATCTCGCTGAGGTACTGCTCGAGCCGGTCGGAGGTGGCGCGCCCCAGGCCGGCCTCGTCGCCGTCCAGCGCCAGCAGGCTCGACTCGAGCAGGTCGGCCGACGAGACGCAGCAGGCGGCCGGCGCGCCCAGCACCGGCGACGACGGCGTGTACGGCGGCGTCTCCATCTGGCGCCAGCGCCGCCCGGGGCACGTGTCAGCGAGCGGGTGGCCGGGGGCGGCGAGGGGACGCGGCGCCGGGAGCGGGGAGGGGAGGGCACACCAGCGCCGGGCAGAGTGGCACCGCCACTGCTCGCGCCACACCCGAGGCGTGGCAGTTGTCACTTGCGAGGTCCGAACGGTCGCATGGTTGGGACATGAAGGTCGGCGACAAAATGGATCTGCCGTCAGGACAGGCCGCACGGACTGAGACGGACCAGTTTCCGAGCAGAAGTCATGGACCCGGCAGCACGTGAAAACACCCCGGCCAAATGGAGTCTCGGCGGGCGGCTGACGGAGCAGGACACGGCCGCGGTGATGGGGAGGGTGCGACGCCGCTGGTCCAGGACACGGCTACAGCCAGGACACGGCCCCGGTGACGGGGAGGGCGCGACGCCGCTGGTCCAGGACACGGCTACAGCCAGGACACGGCCGCGGTGATGGGGAGGGCGCGACGCCGCTGGTCCAGGACACGGCTACAGCCAGGACACGGCGCGGCGGTGATGGGAAGGGCGCGACGCCGCTGGTCCAGGACACGGCTACAGCCAGGACACGGCCCCGGGACGGGGAGGGCGCGACGCCGCTGGTCCAGGACACGGCTAACAGCCAGGACACGGCCGCGGTGATGGGGAGGGGCGCGACGCCGCTGGTCCAGGACACGGCTACAGCCAGGACACGGCCGCGTTGATGGGGAGGGCGCGACGCCGCTGGTCCAGGACACGGCTACAGCCAGGACACGGCCCGCGGGTGGGGAGGGCGCGACGCCGTGGTCCAGGACAGGCTACAGCCAGGACACGGCCCCGGTGATGGGGAGGGCGCGACGCCGCTGGTCCAGGACAACGGCTACAGCCAGGACACGGCCGCGGTGATGGGGAGGGCGCGACGCCGCTGGTCCAGGACACGGCTACAGCCAGGACACGGCCCCGGTAACGGCAAGGGCAAGGCGCCACTCGTCCAGAGCACGGCTCCAGCAAGGACACGGCCGGCGGCCGGCACGGCAACCGACGCCAGCACACATCGGACCCGGACGGTGGACTTCGCCGTGCCCTTGCAGATCAGAAAGCATTCCCGGGACATGACGTAACGGCGGCCAATGACTCAGCCAATCCCTTCCTGAGGCACAGTACGAGGCTCACGGCCTCGTCAACAATCAACAGCGGCCAGAGAAGCAGACCAGAGCACTGAGACAGCTCCCGCCCATCTCCGCACCTGCCCGCCTAAGAACCCCGCCCGTCGCCCGGCCCGACTCACGGGGTGGGCGACGAGCCCCCAGCGCCGTCCTACCGTGTAGATGTCGGCGTCGGCGTCGGCGGGCCCGGCCGAGCGCGAGCGTCGCCGCTGGCAGGCCGGCTTGGCGGCCGCGCCGGCCGGCTGCTCGGTGCCAGTGCCGGCGCCGGCGCTGGCACCGGCACCGGCGCCGGCCGGCGGCGGCAACAGGTCCAACGCCACGGCCGCGCCGTCCCCTGCCGGGTCAGAGCCAGGTCAGCGGGAGGGTCGCCGGCCGGTGCGGTCCCAGGGCGCCGCCTGCGCTCACTTCACCATACAGATGGGACAAGGGTTGGCGTAACGGGCTTATCCACACTCAAGGTTGCAATCACACTCAAGACTTCCGAGCAACCCGCTCTAGCACGTGCATGGAAAAGTGTTGGAAAACACCCCGGCTAGCCGCGACGCCGCAACTGACCCAGCCGGTCTGTTTACACTCCGAGTCACGAACAGTCACGCCCGAGACGCCGAGTACGGCGGCCCGTGACCCTCCCCTGGGTAAGGAGCAGCAGCGGCAGCAGCGGCGGCAGCGGCGGCGGCGGCCGCCGCCGAGCCGGGCAGCGCCAGCTCGGCCGGCGCCGTGGCGGCGGCCAGGCGTGCCACCGTCTCGGCCTCGGCCGACTCGAACGCGCCCGCCATCTGCCGCAAGTCAAGTCAAGTCAAGTCAGCCGCGAACTCCGCACAGCTTGGGGCGGCCGGAAGAGAATGGTACCTTTTTTTATAAATTTATCCGAATTGTTGGCACGGGTGACTTCGGGTTCAGAGTACCTGCTAAGCATAGCTTGTAGCGTGCACCCCGAACCCACCACCCAAATCATGCCGTCCAGTTCAACGGATAATTTTGCCTCCACCCTCTTGCCAGACAGGAATGCGGAGGGTTTTACGTGTCGCACATTGCGGCGGTACGGCCTCCCCGGGTCTGGGTTGATCCTCGTTGGCCAGCTGCCGGCTGACCTTTCCATTTCAGTCTGGTCAAATGACATAGCATATAGCGTAGCAATGACATGACATGACATAGCACAGCATACACGTGACATAGCATAAGATCATGAAGTGACATATGGGTCATGGGCTCCGCTCATACGTGTACAGATGGCGCCCGAGACTGGCAAAACACACAAAGAACGGCAGGCCAGCCCTTCCAACCACGCGGCCTGCCACGCCAGGGCGAGAGATCTCTGCTTCGAACACCACGGAGCCACTGCCACGCTTCAGCGACAGCCCACCGAGATCGAGCGCGCAGGGGACGCCTCCCCGCGCTCTCCAGCTGGCTGGCCGCGGCCCTGCCTCCCACGTACTGCCCGGGCGGCTGCCGTCAGCCTCCCCGGCGCCGGCCCGGCCCGGACGCGCGCCTCCTCACCTGCGCCTCCGTCAGCGGCTGGATGTCCGGGTAGTCCATCAGCAGCTCCACCACCTGCGTGTGGCCGTTCTTGGCGGCCTCCATCAGCATGGTGGAGTTGTCCTGGCGGGACGGCGGCCACGGCACACAGTTAGCCCCGCGCGCCTCACTCCCGGGTCAAGGTCACCGTCAAGGTCACGGCGTCCGTCAGGCCACAGCAGCGGCGGCGTGACCTGGACGGGCGGGTCTCACGCGGTCGTCAACACCGAGCCCGCACGCCAAACCGCGGCACCGGCGGCACGCCCAACGCCGTACACGACAGCCTGCAGCGGTCCTACAGTCGCGCGAGTTCACAGGCCCGACGGCCAAACCCCCGGACATCAGTACACCGACAGCGCCTGCCGAGGCGCCCACATCCGACGTCCAACAGCGCCGCACGCGCCCCCGGACCCGCCAGCTCCGTCTGCCGCCCCCCGCCCTCCGCCCAGCGCCGCCGCGCCCCTGCCGGACCCACCTTGAGTATGTGGTGCGGGTTGGCGCCGTGCTGCAGCAGCACCTTGACCACGTGCAGGTGGCCGCCGTGGCAGGCCAGGCTGAGCGCCGTGTGGTCGTTGTTGGCCGTGGTGCGGTTGACATCGGCCAGCCGGCTCAGCAGGAAGGTGACCGTGCAGAGGTGGCCGGCGCGCGACGCCTTCATCAGCGCCGTCCGGCCGCCCTCCGCCGCGTGCTCCTGGCGACAGGCGGCGCGCGGGTCAGCGCGGCGCCACGGTGCCGGCCACCGGCGCCACCGCCGGCCGCGGGGGCCTCGGGATTGCGTCCGCGGGATCGTGCCCGCGCCGCCCGCGCAGCACACGGACCCCGGAGCGGCCGCCGAGCAGGCGGCGCGGCTGCCCGTGACCGTGTCCGGCGTCCCGCGCCCGCGCCAACAACCGGAGGTAGAGGAGAAAACCATCCAACCTGTCTTCAATGGAGCCTTCGGTGATTGCACGGTGTAAACAACGCCACAAGCATACAGCTGCCGGCCTGTAACGCCACCCACAACATGACCGCCAGCCGCCAGCTGCCGACAGACTAGGTCAGCTGTTCTGACAGATGGGCGGCCGTGCGGTCCCGACTGCCAGCCGGCCGGCCGGCCGGCAGCGACACGCGAGAGCGGCCGCTGGGCCCGCGCCGGCGGAGGACGGCCGGCAGCAGCCGGCGTCACACCGCAGCAAAGACCGGCCACAGGCAGAGGCACGCACGGCAACACACCGCCGACCAACGCGCCATCGGTGTACAGACAGGAGCACAGGACCAGCCCGACGACCGAGCGGAGACCAGACAGGAGGTGCGGCGCCGACAGCGGCCGCTCGGTACTGACCAGGGCGGCGCCCCGCTCCAGCAGCACCTCGGCCACGGCCGTGTGGCCGTTCTCGCAGGCGTACGTCAGCGCCGTGTCGCCGCCCGTCTGCGTCACCGCGTTCACGTTGGCACCCCGCTCCATCAGATACCTGGCCGAGACAGCGACGGCGGCGTCAGGCGCTGCCGCTTCACATCGGGGCGTCACAGAAGCACGAGGCGCCGTCGCCGAGCTCCCCGGCGTTATCACGCCCGTCAGCGGCAGCGACGTCACGTCACAGAAGCACGAGGCGCCGTCGCCGAGCTCCCCGGCGTTATCACGCCCGTCAGCGGCAGCGACGTCACGTCACGGAAGCACGAGGCGCCGTCGCCGAGCTCCCCGGCGTTATCACGCCCGTCAGCGGCAGCGACGTCACGTCACAGCAGGCATCCAGTCAGCATCACTGACCACTGACCGCCGTATACGGCGAGCCACGTGAGGCGTGCCCCCCCCCCCCCCAAACCACAGCAGACCGGGTAACTTCGGCGGCGCTCTGACAATGACAGAACCACGGGCACGGCTCGCACGTGGGAGGGCGACTGATAACGCAGTGAATGTTGTCAAATGAACACCAGAGTGAAGCAATGAATGAATGAATGAATGAATGGATGAATCGAGGAATCAATGTATGGATGGCTGATTGCATGAGTGTCGAATAGATCAATTTCAGAGTGAATGAATGAATGAATGAATGAATGAATGAATGAATGAAAGTTCGGCGGAGTACGTCCCGGCTGTCCCGGAGTCGTCTCTGCGTCTGGGCTGTCAGTGCGCGCGTGATGACCAGCCGGCCGGTGCCGTGGCCAGGGGCCGGCCACTCACTTGACGAGCTCGAGGTGGCCCTCCTGGGCGGCCTCCATCAGCGGCGTGCTCGCACCCAGCTCCACGTCGGCCCCCGCCTGCCGGACAGCGGCACACAGCGGCGGTTAGCAGGGTCACCGGGGTCAGCGGCCCTCCAGCGGCGGTCACCACACGGAACGGTACTGTCGGGGAGACACTGCCGTCCGCCGAGGCGCCTCTCCAAGACCGGCGGGGTGACCGGCCGTGCACGCGTGCACTAATTACAGCTTCAAATCGACCGAAAACGCCACACAGCAGACAAGGCGCCCCACAAACAGCTGACCGCCACGGACAGGAACACAGACGATACGCCAACGCTCCGCATCAACGTAGCACAGAGCAGTTCGGCAAACTCTCAACCCAAAACCGGCCGGGACGAACAGTGCACCCGGCCAGCCCTGACCAGTGAGGCAGACATCAGCAGACGGGGCCCCGGATCCCGCCCGTCCCCCAGCACACCCGGCCAGCCCTGACCGGCGGAGCAGACCTCAGCAGACGGGGCCCCGGATCCCGCCCGTCCCCCAGCACACCCGGCCAGCCCTGACCGGCGGCGCAGACCTCGGCAGACGGGGCCCCGGATCCCGCCCGTCCCCCAGGCTCACCTGGATGAGGAAGTCGGCCACCTCGACGAATCCACCGCAGCAGGCGAGCGTCAGCGCCGTCTCCTGCGTTTCCTCCGTGATGGCGTTGATGTTGGCCTCCTGCGAGAGCAGCAGCGCCACCATCTCCTCGTGGCCCTCCCTGTCGGGTGGCCAGCGGCCGTCAGGCGGTGCGGGGGCGGCAGACAATCATCCGGGCGGAGGCGGGGGACAGCCACCGGCGCCGCCGCGCCATGATCGCGCCGGCGCCGACAGGCCCGCTCAGAGGCAAGGCAAACCAGCATTAATCAACACAGTCCGTCGACCTGGAAGTGCTGGGCACCACGACAGGCGAAACGCTCAGAGCAGACGCGTCGGCAGGCACGCTCACTACCGCAGCAAAAAGCAGCAGCGGAGCAAGCCAGCGTATCACCGACCGCATAATCGCCCGAACGACGGAGACGTGGTCAGACCTTGCCCCGTCCGCAAATCCCCGCAGGCGCCACCACTGACCACCACCACAGACTGCTCGAGCACCGTCCGGGCGGCGCCACTATCCTGTCCCACGCCGCCCAGCGGCGCGGTCACCCCGACACCCCGCCCGGCCCCGACCGGCCTCTCACCTGGCGGCCTCCATCAGCGGCGTGTAGCCCTCGTCGTTGACCTCCTCGATGTTGGCGCCGCGGTCCAGCAGCAGCAGCGCCAGCTCCACGTGGCCGCCGCAGGCCGCCAGCGTCAGCGGCGACTCGAAGCTGTCGGCCGGCATGTTCACCTGAGGGAGGCGGGAGGCGGGCGACGGTCAGAGCCGCGCCGCGACAGAGCGCGTTAGGGGCTGGCGCCGCGGGCTGAAGGGCCGCAGCGGACGCCCCGCGGACAGACGTCACATCTGGCGCCACCTGTCGATGACGCTGCACAGTGCTCCCGCACATCGCCCCGCACCACCCAGCTCCACTCAGCCCTGCGCTTCCACAAGCGTCGGCCGGCCGCCCGCCCGCCCGTCGGCTGCTCCACCCACACCCTCCCACTCCAGCCCACCACCTGCCTGCCCCAACACTCACACTCGGTTCAGCCAGTCCAGCACCTTCACCAGCGTCCGCCGCCCGCCCGCCCACCCACCCGCAGACTCTTTCAACTCCTCCACGCACACCCTCTCGCTCCAGCCTGCCGCGTCCCAGCGCGGTGCCGCCGTCACGGCCGCGTGGCGTGCCGCGCGGCCGGCGGTGCTGCCGGCTCACCTGAGCGCCGGAGTCGAGCAGGAGCCGCGCCACTTCCACGTGGCCGTCCATGCTGGCTTCCATGAGGGCGGTGTGCATCTCTTCCGTCTTGTGCTCCTGGTCGGCGCCCGCCTCCAGCAGGAAGCGCACCATGGCCAGGTGGCCCTTGTAGCAGGCCAGCGTCAGCGCAGACTCCTGCCGGTGGCGGGTCAGGTGGCGGGTCAGGCGGCGGGTCAGGCGGCGGGTCAGGCGGCGCGGGTCAGGCGGCGGGTCAGGCGGCGGGCCACGGCACTAACCGGTTGCTGTTAATAACACGCCGACCGCATGGACCCGGACTCGACGAACTACCGAGCTCTTCCGGTTTCATTTGGCTCGGCAGGAAGGTTCGCCAGGAATGTCGTGTAAAAGCAGCACGATCGACTTCGGATCAACAAGAGCACGGAGGACAGCCAGCTACCAGAACAACGCCACAGCTGTTGCTGCCTAAGACAAATGGCTATTAGAACATCGACGCAGCAGCCAGAAGGGCCAGCCCCGTCAGCGGCGCGCACCCGACCCATGACCGCCGACGACCACGCCCACCTTGAACTCGTTGGAGTGGGTGTTGATGCCGGCGCCGTGGTCCAGCAGGATCTGCGGCAGCACGAGCGGCGCGTCAGCAGAGCGCTCGTCAGACGGCGGGCGCGCCGCGCCGGTGGCCACAAGTCGCCTGTCGTTTGCACGGCCGCAAAACACAGCTGGACGCCCTCGTCTGACGGCTGCCGTCAAACGCAACGCCAGGACGGGACTGGGCTTCAAGCCGCCGCTTAAATGCGCCCATCCCGCGGCCGGGTCCGGATGGCGTCCGGCGAGTGGGCTTCATACGCGACGCTGATACTAACACACTTAACGTAACATATAACGCTAACGCACACCACCCCCTCCAGCGCGCACACACATGTTTACCTAATCATACACGCATACACACACGCACATTATATTCCCAAATTCTAGCACACATACTAGGATGTGGACGCAATCACGATGCAAGTGATAAATGTACCCCCAGCGCCGCGCCAGAGTGGGGCTCATCCCCCCCCCCCCCCCCCTCCAACCCCGGGCACCAGCGGAGACCACCACAGGCCCCCGTCCTCCAGCGCTGCGCTCACCCCGGCCGCACGCAGACGCCGCGTGCCCCGCCGCGCTCACCTGCGCCACGTCCACGTGGCCGGCCGAGGCGGCCTCCATCAGAGGCGTGTGGCCGTTCTCGTTGGCGTCCTCGATGTTGGCGCCGGCCTGCAGCAGGGCGCGCACCACCTCCACGTGGCCGCCGGAACACGCGTACATCAGCGGGGTGTTGCCTGTCGGGACACGACACGACGTCACACACGGGGCGCCAGCCGCGGTGGGGGACCAGCCAGGTGGGGCCGCCCAGACCGTCAGGCACTGGTCGCCGCGTCTCCAGACGGTCAGGTCGGTGGCACGTCTCAGCGCGCCGGCGAAGTCAGACCGTGTTATGGTCAGCTACTGCTCGGAGCTGCTCTGGGCGCTGCTTTCAGCGCAGCGACCAAGTGCATGCCATGGTTGCATGCCGCTAATGGCAGTGGCCGCCGCCCGGGCTGCTGCATTCCGTCACAGCTGCCGTTAGGTCGGGTTATGTTCGGCTACTGGCGGCAGCCGGCCCGGCCGCTGCGTTCCAGTGCGGTGACAAAGTCGCTGAGCAGCCACTGTGCTGTTATGTGCAGCTACTGACCGGAGCTGCTCTGGGCGTTGACGTCGGCCTTGTGTTTGATGAGCAGCCGGACCACTTCGACATGGCCGGCGGTGGCCGCCTCCATGAGGGGCGTACAGTCGCCCTTCATGCCGCGGTCCTCCACGTTGGCACGCATGGCCAGCAGCACCTGCACACACATATACACTCAATGAGCCGTCGCCGCGGTAAGCGGACGTCTCCGGCCGGGGACAGGGGCAGGGGCAGGGGCGGGGCGGAGCGAGGGCGGGGCACGGGGCGGGGGATGGTCGGCGGGCAGCGGCTCCAGTGCACTTGGCACACAATTTGGATTAGTCAGCGGGCGCTGAACGGCTCCCACCCGCCGCTGGCCGACGCCCTTCACACGTCCATGGCTCCGAGCGGCGTCCTGCGAAGGTATCCGCCGACCTCGCCCCTCCACATCTCGCGGCTCCCAGTCTGAACCTTCCCCGAGCCCAATATCACCAGACCCCCCCCCCCCCCCCTTCCCTCCCTCCCTCTCTTCCCTCGCCCACCGCCCGGCAACGGCGTGCGCTAAAATTAGCCACGCAGCGCAGACGCGGCCTGACGGACGGCTGAGCCGGAGGCGGCGGCCGGCGGCCGCCCTCGGCCGGGGCGCACCTGAGCGAGCTCGTAGTAGCCCGAGTGGCAGGCGAGCGCCAGCAGCGACTCGCCCTTCTCGGTCGTCTCGTTGACGGACGAGCCCTCGTCCAGCAGGCGGCGAACGACCGGCACGTTCCCGTGCTGACACGCGTCCACGAGCGACGGCCTGCGCGCACAAGGCGTCCAACGGGCGTCAGGCGAGGGTGGGACGGGCGTCAAACGAAGGTGGGACGGGCGTCAAGCCGGTGTTGGAGGGGTGTCCTGCGGGCGTCAGACGAGTGCGGGATGGGCGTCAGGCGGGTGTGGACGGGCGTCACACCGGTATAAGTGGGTGTCCTGCGGCCGTCGGACGGCTGTAGGACGGGTGTGGGACGGGTGTGGGACGGGCGTTACGCCGGTGTTAGAGGGGTGTCCAGCGGGCGTCAGACGGGTGTGAATAGGCGTTACGCCGGTGTCAGAGGGGGACCAGCGGGCGTCAGACGGGCGTAGACGGGCGTCACATTGGTATTGGAGGGTGTCCTACGACCATCGGGTAGACTCTATACAGCGTAAAAAGATGAGATGGATGTCCAAATGTCAAGCAGTCCCTCAGCGGATGTCAAACGAGAGTCAAACAAACCGGCGACAGTAATGAGAACCGTCACCCGGGACTCCCAACAGCGTGATTGCGACACTCACCGTGCCCAAACAACACGCGGTTGTTTGAACAGCTTGCACAGCAACACAGTGTATAAGGTTCATTCAAAGCATGCAAGCAAACACTTGCATATCGGGCACACCACATAACGAATGTCCACATAACGAGTGTTTTCCACTCACCGGACTCACGAGTGCGGGCTCTCGGGGAGCCGGGGGAGCACGCCAGCAAAATATACGGCGCGACAAGGTTCGGCGCTGATTACGAGGTAACGAGACGTCGGTTTTAATAGCTCATACCGTGGATGGCTGCCTGCGACAGAATGCTGTCTGAAATCTGAGCCAGACGAGTGGACCATTCACGGAATGCTTCCGTACCACCAACCCCGCACGTCGAATCCCACCAATCGCAGCCGCGCTCCATGCTTCACCAGCCATCGAACGCGATCCCGCAACAGCACAACAAAGACAGCGCGGCCGGCCGGCCGGCCGGCACATCGGGGGCGATCCGTGCCCGGGGCAAAAACCGGGCCGGCTCCACTGCGCGGCGGCGCGCCTCTCTGGCCGGCACGGGGGTTTTGCGGCCTGCTGATTCAGGCTGGACGCGCGCGGCCTCCGTGACCACGCGGCCCGCCTCTTTGTCGACTCTCGCCGCACGACCGCCGCAGCCGGGCCGCCGCCGCCGCCGCCGCCGCCGCCGCCGTGCGCACGCACGCCGTGATAAGCCTCGCCAGCGGCGTCTTTAGTGGAAGTCTCGCAGGCGCGCGATAGCGTTCAGTGGGTCAGTAGGCGAGAGACACGGGTAGAGACACCGGACGAATGTTTTACCGGCATTCTGCGCTTGATGCGCTGCCGCCCCAAACACTCAAAAATGACTCGCAAATGACTAGCAGCAGCAGCGGGTTTTCCGTGCCGTCAAACTCCCAATGACAGCGCAGTCTGCCGGCTGCCGGACCGCGCCAATCCATTCACCGGCCGCTCGCTGTCAACAGCCGGGCGGTAACGCAGCGGGCGGCGCCCGCCCGCCCAGCCGCCGCTCGCGACGAGCCACCGGCGGCCGACCGGCGGCCGGACGCCGAGCGGACGGCGTGCGGCCGCCGCACCGGCCGAGGCTCGCAGCGCACCGGCTCCCGCTCCGGAACTGCGCGCGCGCGCGGCCGCCGTCTCCACAGATGCGCTCGGGCACGGGCCGACCGGATCTCTCGCCAGTAAGCATTCAGGGCCGGTGCCCCACCGACGGCGGCGTGCAGCAGAGCCCGCGGCCAGCGCCCGCAACGCTGGTTAACGAGTCCAGTAGGCCGGCACATCGACACCGAGGGGGCTAAAGGCCACCAGCAACGCACTGCAGGCAGGGCTTCGCAAAACACGCCAAGATGGCTCGACCTCAAGGACGTCTATGTCGCTTGGAGCGCATGGAACTTCATGGTACAGCCAGAAGGATCAAGTGTTCTCAGATCACATCAAATGCACGATGGGGCTGGGGGATCGAGTGGATCCGGGAAATCACGCTCCAGGGTGAGCGGCCCAACCCCTTCCCCTGTGCTCGGCGTTGCCCCCTGCCCCTTTGGCTGGTGGTGACCGTCTCCAGCGTGACCTTTTGTGCGCCGAGGTTAGCAGAGACTTAATCTATCTTCACGTGCTCAATAATAGTCACCACTACTCATATGTAGGCCGAAAGACAAACAAACATCTACGAAGCCACCGCACTACATCCTGCGTCCCTCCCCCGGCTCCCACACCGTTCGTCCCCAGCCATCATCGCTTCCGCATGCCCTGACCTACCCTACCCTGCCCCGTCTCCATCTCCGGGCCACTCACTGGCTGGTGGTGTCGGTGGCGCTGTCGCTGCGCATGCGCGTGAGCGCGGCGGCCGCTTCGTCGAGCGCCGAGCTGACGCTGGAGGTGAGCTTGCGCAGCACCTCCGGGTCGGCGAGCACGCGGCTGCTGTCGGCGCTCTTGCCGATACCTGCCGGCGAGCGGGCCGCGCGGCGGGGTCAGGCGCCGGGTCACCGGGGTCACGCGTCGGGCCGCCGGGGTCAGACGGGGCGCGCCAGGCTCCAATTCGGCAAAGCACGAGACATATACACCGGAGAGGGAGCCTACTCACGGAAACGACCTGTCCCGGCCGGCGAGCAGAGGTCTTAATGAAACAAGAGTGCACAGTAAACCGGACAACAGAACAGGCCGGAATCGTGAGCCGAACGTATACAACTGGGCAAAACAGCACGAGTCCCGGGCGCAGTTGGCGGACGGCGTCGCAATGAGGAAAAGGGCCGGGCTCGACCGGAATGCACACTGCGCTGGCGAGGTGAATATACCACTGGTGCTGATGGGGGGGGGGGGGGGAGAGACAGCCTCCACGTATCGGTAACACCACCGCCGAGCCACCAATGGCTCTCAGCGTGCTAGCATGCCAGTACCACACCTGACAACTCTGAGGAGAACAGGGAGCGCGACGAAAGCATACTGGTCCGCGCCATCACGCAGCCTGTGAACGGACCGCCGAGCCACGGAGGGCTGTGACGGCCCGTGTTGGCCCATACTACATAGCCAAACATCGCTGCTCCCGGTGGCTGTGTTACACGACTCGACCGAGTGCGCCAGCGTGAATGACTCGCAAAACGGGACCACCATACCAAATGCTCTTCAAACACGACTTTCCATCATAATTCGTGCTGCTGGTTTGTCGCGATTGAACGAATCGAAGAGAGACTAGCGATAATATGAATGTTCGCAGCAGCACGTCCGGCCGTTTTTCTTATATGTTTCTAAATACTGAACGTGTGCGCCGTATCTCCGTGCCACCGCTCCCTCCGCACCACACTGCATGCACAGCCGTCACAAAACGGCCAAAAAAACTAGCATACAAACCAGTTTTTAGACCTAGAGAAACCCCCAGACCAGCACCTGTACGCGGCACTTCCGAGCGCAGAGATGCGCCTGTTGATGACGTCACGGCGCAGCGTGCCCGCCCGGCCACGCGTCAGCCCCCACCAGAGACGACGCGGAAACAAACCGAATCCTGTCAACAGACGCGGCGGCCGCCGTCCCGGCCGTGGTGGGAGCCGCGCGCCCGCCGGTCAGCCGCTGGCCCACATAGCCGGCCGGCTGAGCCGGGCACGCCGGCAGAGCCGGACGCCGTGTTTACCGGCACGCGCGGGGGCGCCAGCGCGCCCCACGCACCGCCAGCTGGCGGCGCCAGTCGCAGATGCGGGCCGATCGGCGCGAGACACGTGGCCGGCGCCGGGTTCGCCACGCTCCCACCACAGCTGCGGCCGGCCAGCCGGCCGGGTCGGCCGGGCCGGGCCGGGCGAGGCGGGCCCGCGGAGCGTCGCTACCGACCGGCGCCTCGCGCTGGCTGGCCCGCTTCCCGAGCGTGTCGACACATGGGCGTTCCATCGCCCCGGCGGCAGCCTCGACCGGGCGCCCGCGTCCCCACCAGCCTCCATCACCGGCGATCTGCCTCACCGGCGTCCGTCAGCGGGCCCGGGTGCCGACAGCCGGGCGGCGGCCGCGCGGCGCCACACGTGCGCGCGCCGGCTGAGTTCAGCACGCGCTGACGCGGCCTGCCGGGAAGGCCGTCGGCACTCGCTGCGTCACGCCCGGCGCCGCCGCCGGCCGAGGCCGCTCTCCTGTGCAGCGACGCACGGCGCCGTCGTGCGGGGGGGGGGGGAGCTGTGGTGACCACGCTGGAGCCCAGCCGTCCCGGCAGCGGGCGGGCCTCAAGTCAGGCCTCCCACGCTGCAGGTGCCTTGTTGTGCTGACTGAGCTGCCGGTGCCTGGAGCCGGCTCAGCTCAGCCCCTGTGCGGTCCGCCAGCCGACAGTGGCTGAGCACCGACCGACCGACCGGCCGGGGCAGGTGAGCAGGCTGACGCCAGGACCGGGCGCCCAGTGGCGGCGGTCGCCGCCGCCCCGGCGCAGCCAGGCGCGGAGCACTGACCCGTGATGCGCCCCAGGGCGTCGTGAGGCAGGTCACCGCCATCAGAGCTGTCAATCGAGTGTCCATCCCCGACGTCACCAGCCGGGCGCCCAGAGCCACCCGGCGGCGCCAGCCTGTCCCCACGACCCCCACTCCCAGACCCCTCCCCGTTTCCGCCGTCGGTCGCAACGGGCGGGCCTCACGACACGGCACCGAGCGAGCCGAGGCCAGTCAGCCGGGCGGCGGTCGACCGGCAGCAGCGGCGGCCGGGCGCCGGCGCCTGGGTCGGACGGACACCGCAGGGGGCGGGAGACGGCGGCGGTCGACCGGCGGCAACGGCGGCCGGGCGCCGGCGCCTGGGTCGGACGGACACCGCAGGGGGCGGGAGACGGCGGCGGTCGACCGGCGGCAGCGGCGGCCGGGCGCCGGCGCCTGGGTCGGACGGACACCGCAGGGGGCGGGAGACGGCGGCGGTCGACCGGCGGCCGGAAGACCGCACCGACGGGTCGGGGGCGCCCTCCCGGCCGTCCGCGAGGGTCAACACCTGCTGACGACCGCCCAAAATAACGCACGACGGCAACACACAGACAAGAACACCGCAGCATTGCACCGCAAGTCCGCCGCGAGGCGCGGCAAATCGCGACGCCGCGCCGTCGGTTCCCAGAGCTCGCCGGTCCCGCCGCGCCTCATCCAAAAGCCGCCGCCACGTCCAGCGGCCGGCGGGCGCAGCAGCGGTCGTCCAGCGCCGGCCACTCGTTATTTGTGCCCGGTCCGGTCCGCTCATTAGTCCATGTTATCGAGGCGGCGCGCCGCTTCGGCCGGCGGCGCCCGCCACCATCCCCCGATCACGGCAGGGCGAGGCGGCGGCCTTGGTCGAGCCAGCCGGGCGATGGACGTCTGATGACGGCTCCCCGGTCGGCCGGTGAGCGGCGACGACCCTAAACCGACCACTGGTATCCCTAGCAGCGGACGCCGACGTTCACAGAAACGGGCCCGTCTGCCCGGTCACGGTCAGTCATGGTCACAGTCACGGTCACGGTCACGGTCACGGTCACGGTCGCAGTCACGGTTGAGGTCACGGTTCACGGTCGCGGTCGAGGTCACGGTCGAGGTCACGATTCACAGTCGCGGTCCCCGCTACACAAACGCACGCCCTCGAGCAGACCCTGGTTAGAGCTAGTCCAGCTGGGGCGTCCTTCACTTCACGCCGACCGGCCTCGGGACGTTGATCCCACGTGAGCCTCTGTCACGTCAGGTCAGGTCACGTCAGGTCAGGTCACGTCAGGTTAGAATGCGTCACTTACCGGCTGCCTCAAACCTCTGAAGCGGCTGCAACTCTCAGGGGTGACATAAGACAGGACACGGGTCACAGGTCAGGTCAGGTCCGGTCAGACCACTCACCGGCTGCCTCGAGCAGGGCCTCGAGTCGGGCGCGCGTCTCGGGGGTGACGCTGGACAGGTCGGCCGGGTCGGCGGCCTCCGCCTCCAGCAGGAACTGCGGCGACAGCAGGCGCGCCTCGGAGGCGCCGTCCAGCTGGAACGAGCTCACCTGGCGGCACAGCACAGCACACAGGCCGTCAGCAACGGTGCACTCAACGGCGCCTCCTACGTACGGAGTCCGATATTTCGGCGGGATGGCTTTGAGTACGAGATGATGTGCGCCGTTTTGGCTGGGAGTTAGCTTTTGTTTTCACAATCGACCGTGTTTCTGTCGAAACATCATTAGTGGAAAAACAAGTCGATGCACTACATGTGGGCAGCATCTGCAGCTTGGACCACCTATTCACCTGTTTTGGTTCACACTGGTCATACACAACAGCTGCCACGTTACACCTGACCGCCATTGTTCCCAGTCACAAGCTCGAGGAGCACATTTCGTGACAACACTTCCCCAGCCAGCATCGGCAGCTCCCACACAAGCCGCAGACGCTGCTGCCGGCGTCAGTCCGCTCCCGTGACATCCAGACGGCAACCGGCCGGCAGCACACGCGCCACAACATTGAGACGGCACCGCGCCACCAACCAACTCCCCTCCCACGCAGAACCGGCACCACCGGCCACCAACACTTCCGTAACGTCAGCCAGTGCTGGCGCTGACGCACAACAGACGATGAGAACACGTGCCAGGCCTTTTTGCCTAAGTGTGCGTGCGATTCTCGATCGTGTTCGCCTTCAGCGTGCGACAGCCACCAGTTCTCAATAAAAAATGACTCGCGCATAATGTCCACCAATCGCAGTGTCAGTACGAATGTTCCGACAACGTAACAAGTTTTGGACTAACAATACGGAACAGTATACCGACATCACGTACCGACCAAGTCTTTCAACGGTCCTGTTGCTACGGTTCTATGTTAAATTCCTCTATGCCGAGATGATCTCAGTACCCGGTCGACTTTCCGCGTTTGCGCAAAGCGCTGATAGCTCCACATAGCCTTAGCCAAGTACTGCACAGGCTCAAGACATCGAGCCATTCACCGCAGCTTCCGACTTCCGACGCCCGGACGTGGGAAAACTGCGCCACTCAAGACCATGCACAAACGATTACTGACCACCCCAAGTCCCCAGCTCGGTGCGCAAAAATGCGTTCCCAAAATCCGTGCACTGATCACTTTCTGCATCCGCTTGTGAGGAACAAGACTTTGAACGACTGACATCGTAATTGCCACCTCACTGTTTGTTTTCATTTTTGACGAAAGAAGATCGATGACCAATTAATAAATGACACCACTCCCACGCCTCTGAAGTCTGAGCAGAGGCTTGCTCACAATCCGGCACGCACGTTCATTCACCTCCCATTATCGGCGAGGACTCGCTAAGTTGAGGTTCCAGACCTGCTGCCGATTGACAAGCCGACACCTGCAGCCGTCCGTCGGCACCGTCTCGTCTGCTGCTCGCTGCAGCCCACTGCTCGCGTCTCCTCGCCTGGCTCTGCAGCCTGCCCGTCACCGCAGGGGCAGTCGCCTGGCGTCGCGCCCCACCCACCACCTGACGTGGGCCCCTCCGCCCGTCCTCGGGCGCCACCGCCTGTGCGCGCCTGGACGGCCGCCCCCTGACGACACGGGGCGGCCGTCCCGTGCCGCCCCGTCCGTGAGTCGCGGCCCTTCCCCCGGTCACGTGACTGGGCCGTCACATTCCAGCGGCGGCCGCGGCGGCACCGAGCAGGGGAGGGGAGGAAAGAGCGGGGGCGGGTAGCCCGCCTGCGGGCAGGACGACGAGGTGCCGCCACCGCCCCATCAGCTGACCGCTCGCTGACGCAGGGGGAGGGATAGCCCGCGGGCGGGACGGGCGGGACAGAGAGGGGCGCCCTCCCCGACAGCTGGACCGTTCGCCGGGCCGGCGCACAATGGCGGCGGTGCGGGGGGAGGGGGCAGTCATCACCGGCCGGCGACGGGGAGCCGGCCGGCCCAGTGGGGAGACAGCCCGGAAACCACTGGGTTGTTCCCTTGGTACGGGGCCATTACTGGCCTTCAAGGCAAGGTCGCCGCAAGACATTTGGAATGCGGCTGTCATTGACAGATTTACTCGTTGTCAATGTGCAGTATGCGTCACGACACGGTGTCGTGTGGCAGTCAGATCAACCTGGGTCAGGCTTTCTTTGCCCCCACTGTCCGAGGCCACCAGAGCCCGGTTGCTGAAATCTCTCACAGAATCATATCGCCTCAATCTGGTTCATAATGATGATGATTTGGGCTTTAGGGCGCACCGACTACCCGGATTATATGACGCCCATAGTAATCTTGTTCATGGTCTTCCCAAAATTACGAAAACAAGCCCTTTCGGTTGCCAAAGTCAAACTCCTGAGTAAGCTGGGTCCGTGAAAGGGTTTTTCGTAGTTTACGCGTTCTTAGAAAATAAACAAGCATAACGGAGACAGTTCAGAAGTCACATCAGCATCCTATTAGCCTGCCTGATCACACCAGGCCTAGGACGTGGTCAGGTAAAAGGTGGGAAATACCGGTCAAGATCGCGCATTCCGTAAAATGAATAAGGAGCGGAAGTTGAAAACTCGCAGCCCGGCGATTTCACGACAGACCGTCCGCTCCTTGATAACTGAAGGCGCAAATTCGCTAGCAGAGCCTCATCCCGCGGCCCCACTGGTTCCCGGAATAAGGGAGCCTGTTTGATAACGGACGTAACCGGTACGGGACCATCCACCTGTGACGTCTGTAGCAGCTAACCCTGAATTTCATTCAGCCGGCTCATGGTGTGGTATCTAGGGACATCTTCAGCGTTTACGCAGCGAGGAGACAGTAGCAAACTTCGGATTCGCACAATACGGACTGGCGCGACCAAGATGCAACCACAGAAGACGTGCACCACAAAGCGCACACTTATACAGACCAGGCAATTCGTCGTGAACTGTCACAGCAGCATCATTATTGAACTGCGCCACGTCAGTGACACATCCAGCACCGACTGCAAACAACTCCGGAAACGAACGAGCGCAGCCGGTGCCGGCCGTCACATCGACGGACGGTTTCTCACAGAGCCAGGTGTTCGCGTCGCCCACTCGCCTCTCAGCGCGTGATCAAAACTGGCCGCGGCGGCCGAAACATGGACGAAAACCGGGCGAACTCGGCACAAAAGTTTCTCAGCAGACAACGACGCAGTTCGGAAGGTAGCGACCTGAACCGTCTCGGGTCAGGCCCGTTCTGGGCCTCAACGCATCGCGACCCGCCCAGGCACTAACGGGCTCGGCGCGACAGCCTTAGTCAAAGCGCTGGAAATGCGGAGACCCACCCCCCTTCCCCGTAAAATCCACTTGCCAACGCCAATAAATACCGACACGACCGTCGTAAAAGCTCCATTAAGTGTCCAGACGTTCCTCGGTTATCAAACACCTCCTGCATTGCGATAACCGACGGTAAATCCCTGGCCATAGGCAGCCGCCCATGTCGCCGCAGTTCCAAAAATACCCATATCGCCGCATCTCCCCACTCGTTCCGTGTCACTTAGGTCTGACGGGGACCTTCCCATCTCAAAGCCGAGGGGCCGCCGCCGCCGCCTCCCACCGCATCCCTGCGTTTTAAACCCGCCAAGGTCGCGTCACCCTCACGCCGCTGCCGCGCCAGGGAAAGGGAAACGCTGCGCACGACACCACGGGGCGGCGCTGGCCGCTGATGAGCCGCGCCGCGAGCAGCTCGGGCGGCGGCGGCGCGCCGTGACCCGGCGGCCCGTGGTCGCCGGTGTCGCCGGTGTCGCCGGCGAGCGCCGCCCGACCGCCGGGCGTTACGTGTAGTCGGCCGGCCGGCGGCTTCCCACGGTGCCGGGCGCCGTCGACCGGCCATCCGGGCGGCCGGGCGGCCGGGCGGCGGAGCCGGCGCACGAGGCCACCTGCCGGCCGCGGTGCCGGCGCGCACCGGCTCCCGACCGTTGACGGCGCCCGGCAGCGCGCCAGCCGGGGTCAGCCGCGTGTCACCGCCGAGACACCGGAACGGCACAGGCGGCAACGGGCCAGATCACCTCCTGGTAGGCTAGGTTAGGTTGGGCTAGGCCAGATTATGCTAGCTTTCAGGTTACGTTACGTTAGGTTAGGTTACGTTAAGTTACGTTACGTTGCGCTGGGCTAGGCCAGACTTAACACGCACGCAGCGCGACAGTGCATACACAGCTTAAATCACATTTCTGACACAAAACCAGCCGGAGTCATTTGACGACCATGGCATTTCTGTGCGGCCGTGTCCTGCCAAGTCAAGTTTGGCCACATCTGTTCAGGCCCGATGACGACAGGTCTGTGTAGGCCGGACCAGGTCAGGTCAGGCCTGGTGTGGTTCCGCCAGCCACCCGCCGGCCAACACCGCTCTGAAGCCCACTCAATGGACGCTGCGAGCCCCAGCTGCCACCAGCCAGGCTCAATAGCCGTCCCACCCGGACGCACATCAATGAAGTTATTAATTTAACATCATAAATCGTGGGCGTTGTGGCTAGCGCCAATACGGTGTCAGACGTATGGGGCGTCAACTCATCACCTCAGCAGCCACGTACCAAACGGAGTGTAGCTGTCCATGTATGTAAATGGCGCGCTCGTGCTAAGAGCGGGGTTCTTCCGACAGCTGTTGAGCAGATAAAAATACGCCCGTATACCGGGTCAGTGTCTACCTGAAAACATCCACTACTCTTGCCAAAGGCAGTCTGAAACATCGCTGTGGAACCCGCCCCGCTCGAAAAGCAGGCAAACTTCCGGTGCCGGCCGCCCACCCACCCGCGGCCACGGGGCAGTCCCCCTCGTCACGTGACGCCTTCGGCCGCACCCCTGCGTGCGCGGCCGCCGCCGCCTGCCGGGGGGCCGCCTGCGGCGGCGGCGCCTGGTGACGCGCGTGGTGTCGGACGCCGCTTGCGCCGACACTCCCCAGTACCGGCCAGCACGACGCTCGACAAAAGCGCAAACGATGCTTCAGGATGGGACGGCGGAGCCAGCGGGAGACGGCGGGAACGATGTGGACGATGGGTTCACCAGGACTGCAGTGGTACAGTCTTGGTGAAACACTCAAAGACAACGTGAGAATGGTTAGTGCAGGCTCTTTGTTCTTGAAGAATGCCTTCCCCAACCAGTCCTGAACACATCGGGTCGCCCAGCCGAGAAAAGAGATCAGTCACCGCACTGGTCAAAGATACAAACAAGGAGACCGACCACATGACGAAACAATGGAAGGAGCACACAGTGCAAACGAAACAGATCAAAGTCCACCAGCCTGGACAAATGCAAACACAGAGATAAGTGGCCATGTGTCGTTTTGTTCTCTTAACAGGGAAGAGTACACCAAACGCCAGGTCTGTAAATGCTACAAGGCTTTCAGGTGAACATGTACCATGCCAGGCAAATAAACATGGGTTCCACAGAAGATGATTGCATTTAGAACCCCCAAAATCTGGTGCCTTAATGTGCCAACACTTGCATGAGAAGAAGTGGATAATCTATGCCTAACCAAATGAACAACCTTCAGAGGCATAAGCCTTGATATGATTGATGAAAACTTCCGGAATGTAAGCCTGTAAATAATCAGAAAATCCCCAAAAAGGCCACACTAGCCAACTTGCTCCATTAGATAATCCAAAAATCACGAATGTTTTCTGCACTGCCTTAATAACAGACATGGACTTCCCTCACTATTGACTGGAGGCCGACACAAAAATGAGCTTCATTCACCCCTGTGTTTGCAGCAGGTTTTTCAGCTTGCCAGGATGGAGTAGCCAAGTGCATCCATTTTACAAATATCCTGCCATATTCTCTGACCATGTGATAAATGTATCAGCACAATCTCATCACCATCTATACTGCTTTACTCACTTCACGCATCCTATGTTTTGGAACACCCATATTACATCATGCCAAAGAAAGTGAAATTTCTTTGTTCAAAGAATATCAACCAACATCTTCTTCATATCAGATGGTGGCCTATGACAAACTAAGGACAGGACAATTCCATCATTGTTAACAAAAACGATTTGGTGGCCATACAATCCCAACAATGGGACGACAGGCTATCAGACATACTTATCAATCTGGCACATAACCAAGCTGCACATATTGGGCAATAGCAACTCTACTCTTACAACTCTTAAAATGAAGTACAAGAATGGCAATGAAACAGTCAATAGGGATGTCATTCACATGGAAACCACACCTATGGACCCGCACTGTCCACTTGGAAGTCACACTTCGTATGCAAACTGGGAATCAACAATGAGCCATTTGCCAAAAGTGTGATCCTCATGTGCTGCTTCTCTGTGTGCCTTTACCTGGAGGCTGTGAAACTTCAGCACCAGAGAAGCATTAATTGTTATGCAGTCTGCGCTGATGCTTTTCTAAAAACAGTGGCTACTTCAGAAGAATGAGGTATCTTCAAAATGTCAGTCACTCACAACAAAGCACTCTCACATCAAGGTGCATTCTAACCAACAAACTTCAAGTGATTGTTCTCAACACACACCTGTTTTTTTCCATCTCTTCATCAAAGTGGGCTCATCTCAGCACACATAGAAAAGGTAAGAGAGACCCGGCATGACAATGCCAGGTCATGTTCCATTAATGCTAATATATACCTTTATATGCTAACTTGCACTTATATGCTATACATACAAATTATTACACACACACACAGCACACACACACACACACATATAGATATATATAAATATATATATATATATATATATAATATTATATATATATATCAAATATACAAAGTAGGCTACAACCAACCAACTCAAGTATCAACTTGGCTTGATATCAGTGTGCACTGCAAAAGCCTTCTACTACTCTAAGCCAAATACACTGAAACCTGAAGGATTTTTCAACCCTCACAAATGGATGTCTGAAGCCCTTCAAAATATACCAGGGACCCTATAAACACAGAACCCCATAGGATGCTGGATGCCCCCACCCTATGGGATTCATGCACATGTCTCCAGTCATGGACAGATCCATCCAGTCTGCTATGGGTCACGGGTGGGTGGTTACCTGGTAGTAAAGCCATTAATGTGCCAAGCCTGAAAAAGCTGGCAATTGCTTTGTTAAAAAGTCATCAGAAATGTACTCTGCACTTTCATGAATGAAAACCAAGAAATCTTCATCCTAATGAAAGAATTGTCCTGCCCAGCCTGATCCATATATTTAATGGAATTTGGTCTTAATTTCAGCAGAGCGGCCACCCCACAAAGCATTCAAGATTTGCATTTCAGCCAAAAGATAAGCATGCTTTCAGGTGATCCTGAGCTGAAACATTATATGTTTTCCATTCTGATGACTCTCTGATTAACCAAAATGTTGCCACAATGAAACCACAACAAATGCACACATAGTGCATATCATTCACCAAATGTATGCTGAAGCCAACAACCTTGCATAAGTATTAGGGACAGACAGAACTCCTGACAAGATAAAAAAAACATAAAATAAATCAAAACATGCCAAAGCTTTACAAGCATCCAACTAGCTTATAATTTGCAAAAGATCCTATCATGTTCCTGACAATGCTCAAATTGAAACCTACAAAAGAAATGTTGGTGCAAACTGACACTGACTTCTTGGAACCCAGTAGGCCACATTGCCTACCCCTCCTACACACACTGCTCTGTTCACACAAAGAGTAGCCAAAAGTGTCTTCTTGACACATTCACATAGATGTTCATGTACAAGGACTGCCATCATACTTGGAGAGAATGAAACAAGAGCTCAGCTAACAGCATTGCACCAGTACCTGAGAGTAACCTAATGCAATGCTTGTATTTCACCATGCAATGTGATCACTTCCCAAAAAATAAAAGCAGCTTCTTTACAAATCAATAGTAATGCTGTAAGCTTGCATTGAACACAGTTGCATGATGCAAGGCAGACAGGAAACATTTTGCTATGTCCTGGTACTGATGCCTGCACTTTTATGGACAACAGAATTACAAGTTAAACCAACAAAATTTCTCTCAAACAAATATTATCTGGCCTTATTGGTTGTTCCAAATAAACAATGTAAATCCAAAGAACATACAAAATAAGAACTACCAACAATTTATGTTGATCTTACTTCTTGTTCCAAATAACAAGTAAGGCCAAAGGAACAGTTGACAAAAAACAAAAAACAAGAAACAATAAAAACAACAATTCCAGTTTAATGCACACAAAAGCAATCTTTATTCTAATTTACTGAACAACCAGATGGCAAATTTGACCTGATCTATTACAATTCACAAACCACACAACCATCTTACAACAGTTGAGACAGCAGAAAGGTGATAACTTATAGGACAACCATACAACAGGTTACATGGCAAGGCATCATTACATTGATTATAAAGTTTGGTACCTTGCATGGTAAGTGCAAATCAAGGGGCACTGAACTTGACCACATGGTGAGCCACAATTTGCCTACAAAGGACAAAACCGCACATCGATACAAACGAGCGACACAGGAGATAAATTATATGAACGGACGTCTTCAAAATTACAATTATAGTCCACTTAGCGCCACTCCACACACCCATCAACACACCAACAGAACAAGACAGGAAGGACAGCACAGCTACGCACCAACGCATCCACGTTCGTCGCAATGCGCAACGAATACTTACCGGGGGAGACGTCGGAGCTGTCACTTCCAGATCCTCCGAGCATGCAGTGCATAAACCCAGGGATCCTCTCGTCTATCCCCTCGGCACCTCGTCTATCAAGTTCGGAATCAGATAGTGATTGACCCGAAGATCCACTGACCGCGGCACCTTTCTTGCCGTCACTTCTTCCCCTTTTCCTCGCCGCTTTTAACGATTATCGGATTCTTCAATTTGTCTACATTCTGCATCTTTAGATACAGAGATGCTTAATCATTCATCTGACTCGTTTTGAGCTCACCCCTTGCCTCACAATTCACTTTGCACGATAGCGCACACCTCACGAGCGGCTTCGCAGAACATCGAGCGCCATATTTGCTTAGGGTTGACAGTCCGATCACGAAGTTCCCGTATGTTGCCACCAAATACTACGGTTTCTATTTTTTCAGAAAAACAGTGCTGTCAGCTCAGCTATGAATAAGCATTCTAAACGCATTTGCATGATTCAAGAGACAACATCTGATTTTCCTGGATCAGACATATTTCTATGATCTTTTACATCGCGGCTGGGTTCTTGAAGCTGACATCAATCTCATGCGTGGAGTAGAATCGTCACCATGGCACCTCTAGCTCTAAATTTTACCCTCTGTGTTACCAGATTCGAAGGAATCTCCTCACGCTAACCTTCGACACACGATCTATTCTTGTTCTTTTTTGCGTTTTATGGGCTGCCTGGCTGCTTGTCGGGAGGACTGGTTTGTTATCTTTAAGCAATGAACATATTGCCACTACAGCAACGCTTGACGGGAATCTGGTGACGTGTGTTCACTGATCAGCTGAAAAAATTGTGTTCCTGTAGCCCATTCGAGGCCATCCCAGGTACGGGACCGCAGTTGAAATCAGCCGCTACGGCCCTGATCAACACAGGAGGCCCTCGTTTTGTCAGGAACCCAGAACATTTCAAATCGCGGGCCCAGCCTCGTTCTTGCTGGGAAAATGGGTCTCAAGGGCTCGGACGGACATGAAGCCGACTGTTTCGAACTGTGTTCAGGCCCTATATAATAGCGATAGAGAACTCTAGTAAGAGAGACCTAGAAGAAAACCATCTGACTGACATTTCAGGTCATGGCACTCATAGCAGGTCATGGTATTTCGGGTCAGAGTCCAAGCCGGGACCTTGTATCTTCGTTCCCGGGGCCCTCCGGCCCGTCTTCCGACCCCCCTAAACAAAGTCCGTGACCAACTACGGGCCACTAGCCAAGACATGTGCCCCTGTTTTGCGCTGTGGGGCCCCTGACCGACAAAGGGGTCCCAACCAATGTTTCAGGGGCCCAAACCAATGCAAATAATGGCCCCCGGTCCTGCTCTTGCGTGGAAAATGGTCCCCCAGAGTCTAGGCTGCCAGGGAGCTAACTGTTCGGGTATTCGTGATCTCTGGTCGAGCAATACAACCCGCATTGTCTCAAAGGATCCTCAAACGGAACAAGAAGACCTCTGACTGTATTTCACGTCACGACCTCATGGGCTTGCCCTTTTTATTCTTTATGTGACCTACATCCAATCCTTCAGGCCTCATGCCCTGCAACCGGGCTTAGAAAGTCTGTTCCGTCGCGGTTACCGGGCCCCTCTTTGGGCATCATCGAATGCTGCTAATGGTGGCCCCGGGGCCCTTGCGAACACAGGTACCCTCTTTTAGGCACCGTGGGCCCCTGACAGGCACATGGACACCGACTAGTGAAAATCACTGGAATTGTTATAGGGGTTTGTTGACTTTCAACTGATGCTTTCCAGACCTGAGATAAGTTCTTTGCGCTTACTTGAATGAACACAAAATAAACGATCTCTTCCCTGAATCCACCAGCGGCCCCATTCGGCCACCCAGCATATGGGGGAAAAGGATATCTTTGGCCTTTACAACCATACGTGGGGGACAGTTTGCCTCGCGGATACACCGCCACTGGCCTTCTTAGCCCATGACGGGGCCCATCTCAGACCAGAGATGACGATTCCCAGGCCCGAAAAGTGAGATAGGCCTTAAGTTCCCCGTTCCAAGCCCAAAGTTTTCCGTCCCTCTGCCTGTACTGGTCCCTACACAGCCTAAAACGAGCAACCCTCCTCCCACCCTTAGGTGAAATACCAGCATGAGGGATTTCCTTATGTTGGTATTATTCAGCTCTCAGTCTGAAGCATGGGACCCATTGCGCATTTTTTTGCATAGGGCGTTTTCTTGTTAAAATCTGAGTGCTGCCACAATCGAACAAGGGGTGTGCACCAGATCAAGATGAATGTATGATAGTGATGTGATGTAGACCAGTATCTAGTCAAAGCAATTTGTGATGTTGATCGTTTCCAAAATCATCAGAAATAGCAACTTTGTGGAAAAATGCAAGAACACAAAATGATCACAGGGGTAAAGCATACCAATTTAGGCAGTGCTGCTAGTCATGGCGAATTTGATGCTCGGGATCAAAACTTGCTTAGGAATAGCGTCATATTTGAGAATGCGAATGCAAGCAAAAAAACAGAAAATCGCGGGCAAATATACAAGAGCACCACGGGAAAAAAGCCAATACACACGCAAGTGTGGTGAACACGGTGAACCAAGGAATGGACTGAAGACAGAGGCGCTGTTAAGAGTCTGATTCCGTGTGATGAGCTTATCATGAGTTGATAAACGTGGTGAGCTAATGAATGTGGACAAAATATCATTAAAACAAGATTTTCCCTTCATAGTGTTCATTATGTACTAATGCTGTATAAAACCTTTGTTAATTCTTTCAAAACAACTTCCAGGGCGTAGTAAATCGTGAAAACGGCTATTATCAACCTAAAAATGGCCTTGGGTGTAGCAAAAGCCCGGACTGCGTTCTAAACGTGCTAAGTTAGAAGTCTTGGAGCGTTCAAAAGTGCTTATTTCAGTAGTCACAAAATTTGTCGTCCGTCTATTGGCCACCGCCTGGTGTTAGCCGCTGCGTAGACGCGGCGCGAGCTACGGAAACTGCAACATAGAGCTGCGGGTTTTTGTTTCTAACGCTTTGCGAGCGCGCATGTCCAAAACGTTGTTTGCATTATTTTTCTCATCCGCCGATTCTCGGTGAAGACTTAACGCTCCCAAACGAACATGGCTGGCCATTTGGATCAAATTTGTCATTTCATTTCGTTCGTTATCTACGCTCACTTGGCCTTCAAGGTCTATGTAGTACCCAGAAAAGGGTTGGCGAGGGCTTTTGAGTTATATTTGTCTAGAAAGAGCGCGCCGAACCATCTTGAGATCAAATGCACCGACGGTTTATTTCATACAGTAATACAACGAGAACTTCATCTTCCCGGAGCCTCTGGCTTCCATTCCAGCTAAACAAAACTAAAATTAAAAAACTGCCTGAAAACAGCCTTTAAAAACCTTTAGCCAAAAAGCTTCTAAAAACTTGTAAGCTACATAGAACGTTAAAATTTAAACTAAAACTTCTGGCTTCCGTTTCAGTGAAAACGAAGCTAAAAACGGATAGCATGGTGCCCTCATAATGAAATGGGTCATATCCAGCGACTGATATATTTATCACTATAATTTTTTTGGTAGGGGACCCTTTCTCCAACAGGTGTTCCCTTGTCAGCCCTGCGCCCCCCCCCCCCCCGCCCCCTACCAGGGCTTTGGCTGCACTCCTGCCTCAAGTTTACATCTTGATCAAGGTATCAATTGGTATATTTTTTGATGGCCGCTATGCTTAGATCTGCTCAATATGTAACTCAAGGTTCAAAATAAAATCAACTTCAGTTTTTAAGCCTGACAAACTGAAAATAATCATCAGCCTGCACTTTTTCAATGGGCTGCTCTGACACATTGTCTTACCTAAAATATATATATATATATATATATATATATATATATATATATATTATATATATATATATATATATGTTACATGCAGTTATCAATATAACTATATGTATAATATATATAAATCTCTTCTTCTTCTCTCCTATCTCTCTCTCTCGCTCTCTCTCTTCTCTCTCTCTCTCTCTCTCTCTCTCTCTCTCTCTCCTCTCTCTCTCTCTCTCTCTCTCTCCTCTCTCTCTCTCTCTCTCTCTCTCTCTCTCTCTCTCTTCTCTCTCCTCTCTCTCTCTCTCTCTCTCTCTCTATCTCTCTCTCTCTCTCTCTCTCTCTCTTCTCTCTCTCTCTCTCTCCTCTCTCTCTCTCTCTCTCTCGTCTCTCCTCTCTCTCTCTCCTCTCTCTCTCTCTCTCTCTCTCTCTCTCTCTCTCTCTCCTCTCTCTCTCTCTTCTCTCTCTCTCTCTCTCGCTCTCTCCTCTCTCTCTCTCTCTCTCTCTCTCTCTCTCTCTCTCCTCTCTCTCCTCTCTCTCTCTCTCTCTCTCTCTCTCTCTTCTCTCTCTCTCTCTCTCTCCTCTCTCTCTCTCTCTCTCTCTCTCTCTCTCTCTCTCTCTCTATCTCTCTCTCTCTCTCTCTC